TGACTTTGGCACTTACACCCGCTTCGTGAACACCTTTGGCACCCACTACGTCACAGAGGGAACCATGGGAGGAACTCTGGAATATGTTGCTGTTCTAAACAAAAGAGCTATGGCCGAGTCAAGTAAGGCAACTTTGGCTGCTTTGAATTATGAAGAAATTAAAAGTAAACCGTTTCATCTTCTTTTTCAACTCTTCCAGATATCGATGCAAAAACATTTCAGAAATGCTTCGGTGTTTCTCTTGGCATAACTATTCCAGCCAGTGAAAATAGCAAATTCGGTTTTAAGGTAAAGATAAATGACTGTGAAAAGGACAAGAATAATTATAAAGGTAGATATTACAATTCCAGGTTGGTAAACTGTTTTCTACATTAAAGTAGCTCTGAATATTATGTCTGATCCTTTATTCTCAGTAAGATTTTAAAATAGAACAATTTGATTATAAGAGGTTACTTGTTTGACAGAGCTTAAAAGTATTGTGTTTTTTCTTGTAGCAAACTCCTCTGAATCCGCTGTGGTTGAGGACATTATCACTCTGGTAAAAGGGGGGGTCACTGAAACTGGTTCAGGACTCCTGGCCATCAGGAACCAGGAAACATACAGAAAGTGGGGAGCATCTCTCAAATACAACCCAGCTTTTATTGACTTTGAGGTAACATTGAACAATTTCAAATCATGTTCCCCAACATGTTTTTACACATATAATCAAATTTATATTCCTGACTCCAGATACTGCCGATTTATGAGGGCCTCCGCCTCAGCACGGCAGCTGACCATGCAGGCTCGAGAATAGACAACCTGGAAAGGGCCATAGATGAGTATTTGCAGCAGTTTGATGCTTGTCGATGTGCCCCCTGCAGGCACAATGGGATCCCTGTCCTTTCAGGCACCTCCTGTAGCTGTGTGTGTAAATCAGGCTTTCAGGGCATGGCTTGTGAGGAGACTCTTAGACGAGGTGAGTCTCAGTTCTGATGCCATGCTAAAAAAAAAAGACGTGTTTAAATATTAAAAGTTGTAATAACAGAGTGGCCACTAAGTACTGATTACTGATTACTATTTGTTGATGAATTATTAACCATTTATAGGAAACCAACAATAAACCAAATGCATTCTTCTAAAAGGTTTAGATTAATCTAAAATGTTCTACATTATCTTACAGATTTTCTGAAGGCTCTGTAATTTTATTTTCAGTGAGCAAAATAATAATTTAAATGCTCTTCTATGATATTTGCAGACACATCTGCAGAGATAACAACTCTTTCCAACAACTATAAATTGTGGTGTTGGAGTTTAGACTTGTGCTGCTTTTGCATGCAAAGGAAACGTTAGGGGCTAATTAGGTAACCCTGAGGGACTCCAAGAGGGGGCAAGAGGAGGGGCCTGTGTTGCCTGAGATTATGTTAACAATTACTCTAAAGCGTGTGATAGGTAGCAGTTAAACTAATATTAATACATATAAGAATAACTTAATTAACTGACATCATGTGAGAAATAATGGAGCAAAAATATAAATGTCCTCTTAACATGATACTGTTATCTAAGCAGTACAAATTATGTATAAAAGGGAATGTTCATGAGTTATAGCAACCATTTAAGTGAGTACCAGTGCACCATAAATGTTCTTCCTGTTTTAAACATACTGAAAATGCAAAGATTTTCAGACCAGAGTCTTCAGTTTATAGACAAAAAACGTTTAAAAATCAATTGATTTTTATTCTTTTCTAAACTCTAAACTCTGATTTTCTAAATTCTGATTTTCATCAAAATGTGGACATTGAGAACAGCCAATAAATAACTCCTCTAGGTATCTGAAGAATTCCAGTGTTTGCCTGTGACTCAGTTTGTTCTTATGATTCCTGTTTTCTGAATCAGAATACTTAATTAAAATGATTCTGTGGTTGATTTTTAAAGAATTGTTTGCTGGTCAGTTTTTAAAACTCAGATAATTCATCCTCCACAAATTTTTTGCTGTAATTCATTCGAATGTTTTTCCCCACCTGTTTTCAGGGCTGCCAGATTTTCCACTAACCTTGTTCTTAACTGGCAGCACAACAGCCTCTTACAGTAAACCAGCATTGCTCCTAGTTTACCGTAAAGGCCTCCATGTCATCATAAATAAATAAATAAACAAATCCAGCTAATCATCTGCCCATCTTTTATTTTCTAGACAGAGCAGAGTTCTTTTGAAAACCCTATTTGTTTTCCAGGAAAAGCTCAATTCACCATGAGATTAACTATAATTTTCTGTTCAGTTTATCTCTTCATGAGGAAGTATTAGTCACCTCTTTTCTTTTGCTTCAATGTTGTTATCAAAGCTTCACCAAATGTTCAAAACACTTTTTTTTAAGTGTTTGTTGGAACTTCTGCCTCTGTTCCTGTTTTAAGTGAAGTTTCTGACACAGCATACTTTATCACCTGAGTTAATGGGTTTAGTATCTGACCTTTTTAATGACCAGAATCTTTTGGTTTAAATCCCATATCTGCTGATTAAATCCAAGAGGCATTAAAAACTGCCCTAGACTCAAGTTTTCAAGTCAAAGCATCATAGAAAACTACTCAGATTTATTTGTAAGGCTTTCTGTTTTTCATGTCTGCTTCTCTAGAGTTTTTGGTTCTGTTTTCATGTTTGCTTTGATTTTGGTTATCCTGAGTTGCTGTTAAGATTTTTATCAAATGACTGCACTTTGGTATTTATTTTATTTATTTTTTTCTTCCCGCTTCTGTGTACAAGACCCAGAATATAGACCTTTGCTGAGTATTAAAGGTGTACAGGTCGGATGAATGCGACATGGCTGTTCAGACACTGGTCCTATTTGGAAAGATCAGATACATAGATTCAGGACCTCAAATGTTCTGAGTCACATTGATAAAAATCAGATCTGTGTTGTTGACTCTGTCATAAAAAGACAAGATGCATGTTGCATATGTGGAAAGAAATTGGGTATGAGTCACTTCAGGCTGCAGTGTGAACATAGTCTTTGTCATTACCTTCTATTCCCTTTCGTGTCATTTAAGTTCTCCCTAGCCCCATTGTTTTCCTCTGGTTTCTCTTTGTTGCCCCCCCCAGTGCCCCTCTCCTTTCCTCTTAGCGCTCTTCGAGCTGCTTCAGTCCACTCCTGCTCCCAATTAGTCGATTACTCCATTCATTGCTCTTCTGCAGTTCCTCATTGCTGGAGTATCTTCATTCCTTATATATGTTTCTCCCGAGTGTCTCCTTTGGTTCCCGAGTTCCCTGCCTGTTATTTTTGTATTTATGCTTCTGTTTCCTATCATAACCTCCACATTAAATGTCCAAGAATCCATCTTTGCATTTGAGTCCTTAACAAACATCCACTAACCCTGACATTATTACTATTATCTTGTAACAAAGACCTAATTTGTCCATATATCACTTGAATAAAGACACAAATACAGAAGATAACACATTAAGATTAACCCTTTGGTAGAAATTGTACTCAAGTAAGAGTAGCACTACTTTAACATTTCTTTTACTCGAGTACAAGTAAAAAGGGATTTGGTAGAAAGGCTACTTAAGTACTGAATAAATGTTGCATACAACAACAGATTTAATGTTTATAAATTATGCTAAAAACAGACTTTATATGGAAGTGCTGGCATTTCAAAGACTCAAATGCTTAAAGAATAAAAATATGTGTCATGAATATAAAATAAATTCATACAGAAGAATTTATCAATTTTTGTTTCAATATAAAACTTAGAAAACCAATCCTTACAATGAAAAATTTATATATGTTAGAACAGGGTAACAAACTTCCACTATTAATATACGTATGCTGTTCACTAAGTGTATGTTTAGCTACTTTTGGAATAGTTAAAATTACTCACAGAGGACAAAGTAGTCAGAGATTTCATTCAAGTACAGTAGGAGTAGAAATACTTTACAAGAATATAACTCAAGTAGCCTAAAAGTAAAAAGTACAGCACAGTAAACCTACAGCTAAAAGTACATTTCTTTTTATTGTTACTCAAGTAAGTTTAACCGCTTAGTATTACCCACCTTTGCACTTTAGTCTGACCGGTAATGTGAAATAATGCCTGAAAGTGATCTTATCTTTTAAAAGACCTGAAGGAAGCTTGGAGAAAAACAAATAAGAGGTGCTTAAAAACTAATCACAGTTCATGCTGTTAGTAAATTTGATGTTTTATAGCTTTGACTATTAGCCTCATCATATGCATTTAGAGGATTTCTCACGCTCCGACTTTATGATCATAGTTTTTTGTCTAGGAACCAACAGTATCTATTTGAACTTTTCATCATCTTTTCAGATTATGATCAAGAACTTTTGGTCTTTGTCCAGCAATCCTTTACTCCAACAGTTGGTAGCTTATTGAAGATGGTCTTACTGATTTATATTATGAGATGTAAACCTAGTTATTCAAGTAAAGAAGAAAAGTTTTAAAAATCAATCACCCAGATTTATGCAGATTCTTAACCAAATCTCTTTCCTTATTGCCTTCAGAAATGTCCCATAACCAAGGTCACATTAAAAGTAATTTTTTTATCTGACAGATGCCAAGACGGACGGCTCATGGTCCTGCTGGGGGTCATGGTCTTCCTGTTCATCAGGGACAAAAACCAGGACAAGAATCTGCAATAATCCTGCACCAGAGAGGGGTGGGGCGACTTGCCTGGGGTCGGCCTCTCAGACTCGTCGATGCTAAAAGGATCATCCTTTTTCTAACAAATTAAAGCTAAAGCAAGGATAAAAGATCACTATTGTTGTATAATAGTGATAAAAATAAAAGTGTTGTGAAGAATATGAGCTCCTATTCATTTTAAAACAATTGATTCGACTACGTAAATGCGATATTTAGTCCTTTATCATTTGCTTGTCTCAAGGTGAAATTCAGGTAACAGCAGCTTTATTGAGATCCGAGCCTAAGAAACACCTTGCTATGTAATACAATGAAAGAAAGAGATGAGATACAGCCCTGATGGCTTAACATTCTCACCCGACAAATCATTCAAATACAAATCACTGTTATTTAGCAAATACTTTATTCATTGATTACACATTGATTACACATTACAATAAAGTATACTTTATTCATCTGTGAACCTGTGAGTAATAGTGATTTTAAAAGCATTCAGTGGACTCCTGCTGCAGACCCATGCATGGGAGGCCACTGCTGCTTGGTGGCGGGTTGTTACACTGACGACTCCGGGTCATTCTCCCCCCACTGCAAGATGACCACGCTCCCCAACAGCTCCAGCTGCCATCGATGCCCAGCTCTACAATAAAGAATCATACCTTTTGTGACATCTCGGTGCATAGATAGGGTGCATAAATGATCAAATATGTGCCACATTGGGAAAATATTTGGAGGGTTTTGCTTCATTGACCTTTTGGGTTATAAGTGATCTCACAGCTCCGTCCACTATAGCCAGAAGGACACACACACTCACATCTGGTGCCTGTTGAGCAAGCAGACATTATTATTTCTGCAATCTCTGAAATTAGATTGGCATTTGGTTTTAGGTTAAATCTTCTAATTTCATTATTATGGTAAAATGAAGGTAGGTAGTTTTTTTACATTTCTGGAAGTAATAGAAGCGATCAAAAACGATTTAAAAGCAGATGCTTACTACACTAAAAACGTTTTATCCTTATCTATATGTGCAAGAAAACAAAGAACAGCAAATGCAACCTGTTCAAGTAACGTAGGAAAATCTAAGTTTTTTGCTAATTACCAAAGCTACAATACAAGCATGCAGAGTTTTTTTTTCTGTGGCAACATAGCCTCAAAATGTAGGAATTTAAAAATATTTAGTTTAAATTGCTTTAGATGTCCTACAAGCTTTTTACATATCAAGACTTCCATCTTCCTGGTTAATGTCTTGTGGGATCTCCTAATTTTTTCTATAGGCTCTTTATTATTCATGATGGCATCTGTTTTTTTTATTTTAGTTCTACCAGTCCACTTGCAAAAATCTCCAGTACAGAACCTGGATTGACCAGCAGTCCATAACAGGGCAATAGAGATGCACAAGAAAGACAATTAAGCATGAATACACAAACCTACAGGGGTTACTTAAAGAGATCATTTGAGCAAACATGTTGAGGTTTTTATTTTTTACCTGCTGGAGGAAGCCAGAGTACCCTGAGATGTTTCAGGCATTAATGGGAAGAACATGAAAGCTCCATGAAAAGGTGAGGCTAAGAGTAAAATACAGGACCTGCCATGAGGTAACAGTGCTAACTACTGCTTCATCCTCCTTCCGACCATTGGAAATATGCAGAAAATATTATAGTCAATAAAAAATATACATTTATACACTGAGTGTCTCTATGAAGTGTAATCAAGCTTTTTGTCTTGTTTGTGGAGTAACGACTTAGACACCTTCAAGGGTATTTCAGTCAATGTCAGTTCAGGACTTGATTAACTGTGGAAAATGACAGCTTGTCAGCAGCTAAAGGGCTTATTTGTGGTGAGACATGAGCACCTGAAATAACAATGGACACCTCTCAGTGTTATAAACTAAATTTGAACTCCTCAGCCTGAATCTGTTTTCACAAAACTAGGAATGAAATGTATTAGATTCTGATGCATTTTACTAAATGTAAATTAAAATAGAACGTGATGGTTTGTTACTGAATTAATTTGTTTTAAGGATGTATTTCCTTGTATTGAAAATCCAGTTTCACTACTGTCAATTCTATATTTCAACTTCGAATAGAAATTTCAGGTTTTAATCAGTGATTTTCATGGAAAGTCTGTGGTTTTGTTTTAATCAAACACAAAATAACTTGACCTTTGCCTTAAATCAGGTTATAAATGGGCACTGAGAGGTGCGAATGTGCTGCAAATAAATAAAAAAAAAGCCTGCAAACACAAAAATGAGGATTAAACAAAATACCGGCCCATAAAAATGCTGCAATCACAGTCAACAGAGAAGCAAAATGCAAACGTGTTGCAGACACTGAATAAGACATAAGTGAAACTGACCCACAGACAAACAAAACAAATGTGAAGGGTAAAAATGCTCTATGTAGCAAAACTAAAGTTGAAAAAAGTTGTCAACTAGCTCAGCTTGATGACAGATCTCCCGACCACTAGAGGGAGTAGACAATGATCTTATGTAAACACATAAACATTCACACAAATAACTGTCTATTGACCAGGCCCTTGGTAAAGAAATAAAAGGAAGGCTACACCCAGAAGACATTTGGAGGGAACAAAGAAAAGATAAGTTATCTTTGAGTCTGTTTTAAACAGTCATTCTCTCAGAACATCCCTTTTCTGTCTTTGGTAAGGATTGACTAAGATCTGGTGCCTATTTTCCGCAATTATAGAGTGAGAGACAGTTGTCCCTAATGAGATTGCTTAACCTAATATCAGTGACATAAAAACTATCCATCCTTCCTGCTTCTCCTAGTTATTCTGTCTATGGGTGAGAGGCCAATCTGTTATAGGTCAACACAGAGAGGCACATAGACATACAACCATGCACACACAAGGAGAATCTAGAAAGGCCAATTAACTAAACAGTCATGTTTTTGGACTAATGGGGGAAGCTGGAGCACCTGCAGAGAACCCATGTATGCAAACATGCAATCTCCATGCAGAAAGACACTGGGCCTGGAATCAAACCTTCTTGATGCAAGGCAACAACGCCACAAACTGTGGCACTGTACAGCCCCACATATAAAAAAAATCCCTTGAAATAAAAATTGTAAACTCAATACTTAGTATGACACTGATTTCAAGACATGTCTGATTTCTTTTTGGAAGGGTTAGGGAACTTTTTGAAACTTTCAAAAAAGTTCTACCTTTTAAAACAGCCACTCCATTGTTACGACATGGAGAACAGCGACAGGAGCTGGTCTCAGTCATGTACTCAGACAGAGCTCTCTTCAAGTTTCTCTTCAAGATGTCGCCATGGACGAAGTCTCTGGAAGTCACCAGTTCATACAGTGGCCGGGTCTGGTGATACACATAGCATTGTTGGATCATATCACATGCTTCTTGTTCTACTGGTCAAACAATCTGGAAGTGAGACAAATATTTATTTGTCCCAGCCCAAGAACCCTCCAAACACTACTTATAAACCACACTATGTAAGAAAAACAAAGCTGATTTGTCTCCGACATACTTCCTGCTCAGAAAGTGTGGTTGCTTGCTCTTCAAATGACCACTAATCCGTTTCAGTAGTACTTAAATTCTGTGACTGTGCTGATGCTAGCTGTGCTTCAAACTGTCTGATTACAGTAATTATTCTCAGCTTTAGGATCATTGATTCATTTAGGATCAAAATGGAGCAACACACACCCATAAATGTATTGACCTTGGTCATGTCAGAGGAGAGCAATACATATACTGTAAATACCACTAAAATAGGAGGAATTATGAATTACATTAGACAAAAGCTTAAACCTACTGTCATGCGAATGAAGTCTGGGTTAAAGCGGACGCTTTCACCCCAGAGCCTCATCAGCTGTGGGCCTGGAAGTTTCGTAGACAACAGGGCAGTGATGGATTCACTATTTCCACCCCTCACCATGGCAACAAAATCTTCAACCATTATCCCATTCTTTGTGTCCTCTAGAGACACACAGAAAAACGTTTGGTTTGGTATAAACCAGCGAGTTATGTGTATTGTTATAGCAGAAATAGACTCCCACCTCCCATCTCTTTCAGTAAGCCTTTACAGGATCCAGCATTCACCCCAAGAGAAAAGGGAACCTCGTAAATGGTCAATCCGATATGCAAGCCTGCCTGCACACAAGACTTATACTGGTCCAAATTATAATCTGGAATGACAAAATAGAGAGCAATTAATATTACTTACTAAATCGGTGTGACCTAATTGTTTGCAGAATGAATCTAGACAATTTTCCAGGTTTCAAGGAAATGTTTTCTACAGTAATCCAGAGTAAAAAAACACTCCTAACCTGACTTCTCTAGCTTCTCTTTGTTCAGGATGATCGTGTGCTCAAAGTCTCCTCCTAGGGTAGCCTCAGTGATGTAGTGGGTGCCATAATCTCTGTAGATCTGTCTGTACTCTCCGTAGACATATGCCTGTGGCAGGGAGCGAAGGCGCTGTAGGAACTCAGGGTGAAGTACCAACCCGTCAGACTTCAGGATGTACTGGGCCAACTCCAGCTCGGCTTTGGCTCTAATGAAACTGTTTTTCTTGAGATTAGAAAGAGTAGGTAAATGTCTGCTGGCTAATTTGGAGAATAAAAGAGAACTTCACATTTCCAGGAACACAACATGGATGTTAATGGGCTGTTTAAAGAACATTCATACAGTAGGAGTGAACTCACAACTCCAGAGGCACGTCGAATCTTGCTGACTGATTTGGAGAACTTAGAATCCTTGTAGTTGAAACCAAAACTGAAAACACCTGGAATGCTGAAGCCAATTGAGATAGAAGTTTGGGTCATCCGTTCCCTATGAGTGTATGCCATGTAGTCAGAGTACGACTCAAATGACTGCAGGGTAAAATCATATGACCCACTTGTCTGTGGGCAGAAGAACATTACTGGATTACATTCACATTGTAATGCCATTAGCCATGGTAATAATTCTGAACATAGAGGACCAATGTCTAGGCAAATTTTTGTTTTAACATTGGTGAAGGAAGAGGCAGTACCCGCCTCTCTGACTGCTGCAAATCTCAGTGTTATGAGACCATCACAAAACACTCCCACAGGGACATGCAACTGGGAACGAGGCAGCTGCTTTATGCTTGTCTCATTTTTTTGTGCAACTGGTCTTGAATCAGCCATATTGGAGAAACCTAGTGATTGGAAGGTCATGCAGGCCACGTAAATTAGAACCCTTTGACTGCCAAAGTTAAGTTGGCCTATGGTAAATCTCAGGACTAGACTCTGCGTAACAGACTATCTTAAGAGTTTTCTGAGTCTAGAAACACTGTGATATCAGAGACTGGAAGCTTTCATCTGAGAGGGAAGGACATCAGCTTCCCCACATCACGTCCAATATGCTTAGCTTCCTAAACTTGGAACACAGCTCAACTTTCTAAAACTGAAAGCTTTAAAGGAATAGTACACCCAAAACATGATTAGGCTTCATTTTCTACTCACCCCCATGCTGAACAACACTCTGGAGTACTTTTTTGATAACTCAAATGCATCTGGAGATCTGGGAGGCTTCTTGCTGTCTGCTGACATTCAAATAATGGAGGTCTATGGTGCCCGAGGCAGAAAGGTCCATAAAAGTCCACAAAAACGTGTCAATATTCCTCCATACTGCTCGTCCAATGTATTCCAAGTGTCCTGAGTGGGTAGCATCCAGAATTTACTCGAAACAAAGGCATTTAGAATGTTTTTAGAGCATAAACAGTAGTGTATAGTATTTCCTGAAAGCGCGCGCCAGCGCGTTCACGAGCCTACGGAAGCCGGCAGACCAAACCAGCGCATTCAGCTCGGCAAAGAACTTATGCTCTTCCTCAACACTGAAGTCCTCAGACATTTTTCTTTCGTTGTTTCTTTCTTTGCACAGGTAAACAGCACATTTCTTCTTCTACGCTTGCATTATCGGCAGAGCAGACGCTGAATGCGCACTTTCATCTGGTTTGGTCTGCCGGCTTCCGTAGCGTCCTGAACGCGCTGGCGCGCGCTTTCAGGAAATACTATACACTACTGTTTATGCTCTAAAAACATTCTAAATGACTTCGTTTCGAGTAAATTCTGGATGCTACCCACTCAGGACACTTGGAATACATTGGACGAGCAGTATGGAGGAATATTGACACGTTTTTGTGGACTTTTATGGACCTTTCTGTCTCGGTCACCATAGACCTCCATTATTTGAATGTCAGCAGACAGCAAGAAGCCTCCCAGATCTCCAGATGCATTTGAGATATCAAAAAAGTACTCCAGAGTGTTGTTCAGCATGGGGGTGAGTAGAAAATGAAGGCTAATCATGTTTTGGGTGTACTATTCCTTTAAAAGCTTTAAATATTCTTTTAAGGATTTTTGATCATTTCAGGAGTTTATTTTGGTGTAAACCAAACTGAAAAGAAGCTAATGGTGACCACATGGTACAGAGAACTAGGGTAGGTTGGCAATGCCCATTCCTATGATTTAGCTGATTGCCTACTTAAAGTCTTAATAATATTTTCATTTTGTTGTATCTTCCTAAAAATTTTATTGATTCTAAAAGTTTTCTATGGTAACTGCTGTATGTTTCAGTTGGACATAACTTTGAGGGGAATTTACAGAAAATTTGACCTGTAACGTGTACTGTTGCAAGTTGAATGGCTTCCTAAATGGGACATCCTGAATGTAGTGAGGCAGGCAGCCACCTCCATAGTATCTGTTATCCAACACAATGCCTTCCAAGTGGCTGTTCAGGACATTTATCCTGAAAGGAAAGTAGCAGCAGTGTTATTGTTTCTATATAGAAATATTCAAAAGTTTGACAAAATGGTAATCTGTTCGTCTCAAGGGACTCACCCTTTGGCCAGATTTTCAATTCCCCAGTACTCTTCAGCCTCCTCCCTGCAGGGCTTGGAAACCCTCTGACAGCCAGCCTCGTCAGACATGTCCCCACAGTCGTCCTCTCCATTACACTGCAGGGTTCTGTGGATACATCGACCTGGAAGAAGCCAGAAAAGATCTTTCTTATAGTTTTATAGCTTATATTTCTTTATGTCCTTGTTTTTCTATTTGGGGTTGGTTCTCATTTTGATGGTAGCAACTACAATCAAACAAACTAAAATTACATATTTCACTATTCTTGCAATTTGCTTTCTTTAAATATGAAATATATATAAATGTAGGATTTACTTGTACTTCCTTATTAATGAGGAACTGTTTTTTTTTTTTTTTAACATAAAGTGATTCACACAATAACATATTGCTTTCTAAAAAGAGAGCACAGATTTTAGTTTACCCTCTTATGTTTATATTTATTCTTTCTCTTTTGTTTTTTGAGTTACCCTGGGAGGATCCTGAAGGGTGCATGGGAGTTTGCCCAACCAGTCTACGTGTTTTGTAGATCTGGAGAAGGCATTCGACCGTGTTCCTGTGGGGGGGTACCCTGGGAGTATGGAGTACCAGGACCTTTAAAAGGGGCTGTTAGGTCCCTGTATGACCATTGTCAGAGCCTAGTCCGCATTGCCGGCAGTAAGTCGGACTCATTTCCGGTGAGGGTTGCACTCCGCCAAGGTTGCCCTTTGTCACCGATTCTGTTCATAACTTTTATGGACAGAATTTCTAGGCGCAGCCGAGGTGTTGAGGAGATCCGTTTTGGTGGTCTTAGGATTGCGTCTCTGTTATTCGCAGATGATATGGTTCTATTGGCTTCATCAGGGCATGATCTACAGCTCTCACTCAAGCGGTACTCAGCCGAGAGTTAAGCAGCCGGGATGAGGATCAGTGCCTCCAAATCCGAGACCATGGTCTTGAACTGGAAAAGGGTAGAGTGCCTTCTCCGGGTTGGGGAGGATGTACTGTGCCTAGTGGTGGTGTTTAAGTATCTTGCGGTCTTGTTCACAAATGAAGGGAAGATGGAGAGGGAGATGATATTCGGATTGGTGCGGCGTCTGCTGTGAGGCGTGCACTGTACGGGTCTGAAAAGAGATCCCGGATACAAGCGGCTGAAATTAGTTTTCTCCTTAGTGTGTCTGGGCTCTCACTTAAAGCTACAGTGTGTAATTTTCAGCAAAATCTAGCGTCCAGACTGCAGACCGCAGCAACATGAACATCCCCCCCCCCCCCCCACAGCTTCTCCCCCCCAACAGTACGGCGAGCGTTACGGGACAAAATGTCTTCCACGACGTCCGCATCACCTACCTTCTCAAGTGATGAGGTTTGTTTACAAAGATAATTTTAATACTGCCATCTATTGTTCAGTACCGTCTCAGTTCATCTCTCTCAACTTGCCGTAGTTACTTTCGAGCGTAATGGGCGATCTCGCAATCGCTAGTTTGTTGGCTCTGCACTGCCGTAGCGCAAAGATGTCTGCCTCCATGGCTGCGAGACCCGCTCCTATGTAATTATAAATAACGAATTCTAAGGCAAATATTAAGGTTAAGAGGCTGAGCTCGTAGATGATGATAAATAACATAGTTATGTATAATATATCACATTTCTGACTGTATATCCCTGTAATTATTACACACTGTAGCTTTAAAGATAGGGTGAGGAGCTCAGTCATCCAGGGAGGACTCAGAGTAGAGCTGCTGCTCCTCCACATCGACAGGAGCCAGTTGAGGTGGCTCGGGCATCTGATTAGGGTGCCTCCTTGACGTCTCCCTGGTGAGCGGTTCCAGGCACTTCCCACAGGGAGGAGGTCCAGGGGTAGACCCAGGTCTGAGAGCACCTTGGGATTGCCCCCGGAGGAGCTGGCCCAAGTGGTTGGGGAGAGGGACGTCTAGGCCTTCCTACTAAAGCTGCTACCCCTGCGACTCGACCCCCGATAAGAGGAAGAAGATCGATGTATGGATGGATGAAGTTACCCTGGGATGTGAACTGGGATTTTTTATGTTATTTTCGGTTAGTTTTTGTTTGTCTGACCTCTATTTTTTTGTCAGTGTAGGATGATCAGCTACTATTTAAGAGTCCTCATTTGTCTCTTTAAGTAGGTCTGTTTGTTTGAGTAAGAGGTGGTTTGATTCCAGTTCGTTTGGGAGTTTTTAAGTTGAGCCTGTGCCTCAATGTATTTAATTGCTCAGTCCAGCACACACGTTTTTTAAAAGAAATTACATTTTGGTGAATCTTTTGAAGTAGGCCTACTGGTCAACTGGTATGGTCATGGCAGAACTGAGATTTAACTCTCAGCTCTTTCTTAAAATGAAGTGTGCTGAATATCAAATGAAAGAATATAAATTTTAGATCATTATTGATTTAAATATTCAGAAGGAGTATAATCATGGCAAGCTATAAAATGTAAATAAAGAGCTACTATAATAAAGAAACTATTTAATGTGGTTACATTGCTTTGAAAAATTATCCACACCAAATTTTTACTTTGTTGTCCTGTTAAAGACCACAAAAGGCTACAATTGTAAACTGGAGGAAAAAATAAAGTTGTTTTTAAACTGAAACCTAAAAATGTCTGCTTGCATTCAGTGCCCTGTGTAAATGTTTTGGAGAACCACTTTTTACTGGAGGTACAGAGGAACAAAACACAGCTGGAGTCCATTAATTAAACATAAATGGATTATAAAATAATCATGTCTTAAAAAAATTATCATAGGTCTATTGATATTATTATTAAATTGGCACTGGGGAAAGCAGTAGGATGTACCTGTTTGTGTGCAGAGGAATCCCTCACAATGAGGAATATTATCACAGGTGTAGCGGGCTGAAACCTCACAGGACTCCTCTTGCCTGCCATGAAGATAGCATAGCTCTCCTCCGAACTGAGATGGCTGCTCCAGTTTAGCATAGCGGTACTGGGATCAGTTGGAGGGAGATAAACACATCAGGGGTCAGCAGACAGAGAGAGTATTGCAACTATCCAATAACGTTGGCGCGGGATCTCCTTCGGAGAGCAGTAATGGCTGGAATCACATTAGTGGGCTGTTTTCACTTTGTCATGTCAAGTTTATTAATCCCCTCTCCTGTAAAAGTGGGTGAGATGGAGAACCGGAGTAGATCATCTCTGACCTGAGCTCTTTACAGTCCACACAGAGAGGGCCAGTTCGTAAATGTTAAAATGTCAAAAGCTCACAAATTGCCTGCCAACTGTTTTTGTGCAATTCATTTATATTTTACAGAAAATGCTTGTGTTTATCCTGGATATCTGCTGGCAGTTTGCAAAAAAAAAAAAAATGCAGTTAGTTTTCTTCTGTGTAAGATTCAACAGCTCTGGTTGTGTTTGTATGGATATTTATTCCTTGTTTCTTAGTCCTTGGTTCCAGAGGTGTCAAGAAACTGTATTCAAACTGAAGTTTAAATACATTACTAATGTACTTAGGTTACTTAATCCAAGCATTTTTATTTTTCTTAACACTTTTTACTTTTATCTATCAATTGAACACAAATATCCATACTCCTAACTGATTCCTTCTTCTATACATGTTGATAAAGAACTGATGTAACAGCTGCATAGGAAAAATCAAAAGCCCCCAAAAAATAAATAAATAAAAATCAGTCCAGTTGGAGCGCAGTTAGATAAACACTGCTAGTGACATGAATGAATTATGCATGGCTCTCCCAATCCATCACCCTTTATATTATATTTCAAATTAACATTTTATCATGTTTCAGTTTCTATTTCAATTCTGTATACAACTTTGTTGTAAATACCATGGCTCTACAGTAAAAGCATTGAATTACTTTTGCAAGACTTTTTTTCAGTTTTCTCTAGATTAATTTGTCAGAATTAATTTAGAGAAATTTAATTTGTCAGAATTTAATGTTGAACTACAGTAAACTGTTGAACTAAACTGTTCCGAGCTTTTGTTGTCTCTCTGCACACAAAACAGGAAATGAACTTATTTTCACTTTATAGAAGTGACCACATGGTACAGAGAACTAGGGTAGGTTGCCTCAGCAGAAGGCTGCTCATACTTTTTTTGGTTCTGCTGGCGGTTTCTTACTGTTAAAAGGGAGTTTTTCCTCTCCACTGTTGCTACATGCAAGCTATTTGGGAGGGATTTCTGTAGAGTCAACAACACAATAAAGCAGGACCAAATATTCACACAGTGAGTCAATGCAATTTGTTGGGTTTCCTTAGATAGAGTCTGATAGTACGATCTGACTGATTAGTCTTTGTAAAAGGAGATGATATGTTGCAAATTGGTGATATACGAATTAATTTAATTTGACTGAAAATTCTGTCACAATTTTTTATACGTGCAACCTTTCAACACCCCTAAGTTATCCCAAAAGAAGGCAAAATGGGATGTGTCTTTTTAATGTCTGCTAAAAAAATAAATGAAAATACATTAAGCTTACTTTCTTCTTTGTGCAGGTGTCACAGCGGGACCAACGGCTCCAGTCTGATAGAACACAGTCCACTGGTTGAACTACCGCCTGAATACCCACTGAACGGGTTTCACGGACACTGGAGCTCTCATCGCTCGCTGTGGTTTTAGCAAACTCACTGTGACGTGTAAATAAACAAGAAAACAGAACTAACAGAGTGCAGTCTGAAGGCAAATATGTTATCTGAATTTATTTGTCCTGACTTAAACATACAACCAAGAAACATTTGTAAAGAAATCAATCTGAGCTTTTTTTTATCAGTAAAAAAAAATACCGGCAGTTGAAATTATAGTTAAACAACAAGTAGAGACAGAATTGTACATATCCTACCTTAGCAGGACCAAGCTGAGAGCAACAAGGAGCAGGAAGCAGTGGGAACTGAGTCTGCTTGGCTGTATCATCACAGAAAACATGATTGTGTGTTATGAGCGACTGTCACTGAGGGGAAAGCTCTGTTCAGATCGCTGTGTAAACACAGACTGATCAATACTGGCCTCGATATAAACTCACAGCCACCATTATACTCAACTGAATGCTCAATGCCGTAGGCCATCCGAGCTGCACCGAGGTCTGTGTGTGTGTTTTTTTTACAGGTTTGACACACTGCTAAAGTGTGATTAAACACTGTTGGATTTACTGGCAAGTTCAACGGACGGGCCTGAGATATCTTTTTCATTTGCATAAACTTCATTATGTGTGACATGTTATATCTGCTTTCTGAAACACACAGGAAATGTGTTTGTGGAGTTCTGACAGTGGTGAAAAATGAGTGCTTTGTAATGAGGTCCAGAGTCTTGGCAACATCATTTGAGCTGAGTTGAGGGGGTGCGACCTTTAAACTTTGTTTAGAATTACCCATTATGGGTTCTACTGAGTGGTGCAATCACAGGAATTTGTTGCAGCTTACTTTCTCTAAGAAAGGTGGAACGGCACCAAAGTAAAAATATAAACATGTCCTGCTCTGTACTGTACTGTTGTCATTTTAGCAGCTTAATTAGTTTAATATAAAATCTTTATAGCTTAAAGAAAGTGGCAAACTATTTACATTGAGCCGTTGGAAAGCTAGATAATTTACAGCATTTTTTTTTTTGTCAATAAAGCTATCCATTTTACTCTTGCTAAAAATTATCTGAAATGTCACTGTGATTAAAGCAAAGAATAAAATTGAATAACTTTGGTTGAAAAAAATGTAAACTTTGGAGGCTTTTGATTAAAAAAAATCCAACATCTTCCCTTAAAATCCAGCAGTTATACTTCTGAATGTTTAGGTTTGACTATATTCTAACACTTTCCCCCTGCTCCCTTAGTGCTGTGGGTTTTTATCTACTCCGTCTCATATTGCATTTCAATGGACGCATTTGAGAAACTCCTAAATTTAGCAGATGGCACAATTCTTATCAGTTTGAAACGGTTTGTTAGTTCACAGTGTGACAAATCTGTTGGTGACACGAACTTTCAGAGAACTCCCTGTGCACATTGCCTTAACTCACCATCTTCAACGACACCATGTCTGCATGGATCAACTCCAGCGCCTAAGAACCACCCATCTGAGATGGTCCTCACACATAGACACTGTATAAAAGGTCTATCTTCCTGTGGCAACCTAAAGCATAACCTTTCTTGGAAGCTGCTTGTCATCTTTTCCACTGCCCTTATTCAGTTTGTCCTCTGTTCTTCCATAATTGCACTTGACTCATAGAGAAAACAGGACAGCTCCAAACTGCAACAATTAATTATGTCTGCAGGAAGGACCGTCAGGGCTCAGCTTCACTCTATTGATGATTTGTACAGGGCTAGGAGCAGGGAAAGGGCAGCTTACCTTCATGCAGACCCCACACATCCTGGACACAGAATGTTATTTTCAAAACCCATCTGGCAAAGAAACATATCCTACCCCCAGACTGTATCTCTAATAAAAATCTAACAGCCAGGTCTAGATTGATGCCATGTATATTTGCACTATTTCAGCCTTGTCTTACATTTTATAGATACCCTGTATAGTATATTTCCACATACAGAGCTGAATCAACACCTTAGTTATGAGGTAAAGTTTTATGCACTGAACTGAATTAATATAGATTATTACTTTTTTCTTGCTATTTATTTATTAAATGGCTTCACAGAGCCAAGATAAGCCAAACTCAAATTCTATTCCAGGATTTAAAAGTGACCAAAGTTGCAAACAAAGTTTAATTAGATGCTTTTCAGTCAAGATAATATTCCCCTTTGAGAAAACTTAATGAAACATAGCATTGAATGTAATGTTGGAGGATAACCAATGTAAAGTTTGTGTTAACAAAGGCAACAGGATCAAATGGATGCTACAATAGCACAACACATCTGCTAAATTGTAAATATTGCCATTACCTATTTAAGAGGTTCAACTTTATTCCAGACCAGTTATGGAAGATCCGTGAAACGGAGCACAAGTTAAAGCTATGAACTTGGTTTTAAAAGTTTAGGTGTTGGACTGGATTGATTCTTTTTCACATGGCAAATATAAATGAAGAACTTTTTTATTAAAGGTGATAGCCTAAGGTTGACCTCTTCCAGGGCCAGTAAGTGGCATATTCGCACTAAGCCACTCTCTTTGCCCTTTGTTTGCTGGCCGAAGTCCACTAATCATTTAACCCTTCATAGGGTACTCAATGAAATGCTTTTTAAAATCCGAAATATTACCTTTGTGACATTTAAAAAATATGTATATTTTGAAAGCAAAAATAAAGGTCAGGGTATTAACGATAAAAGGTACCTTGCCCTAATATGTTAAATTGAAAAAAAAAAGTAATGCCTGATAAACACTAAGAGTAAAAGAAACCCCTTATTTTTGCTACTAAAAAATAACCTTAGAACATTAATGCTGACACAGGCAATTACATTTTTGTACTTTATTAACTTTTTGACATAGCCTAACCTTTTAACTTTTCAATTAGCTTTTTACCTTTTTTCTTAACTTACAAATTTTTTTGCAACTGAATTTACTGTAGGTAACATCATCCAAGGACTCATCTAATTGGTCAAATGCCAAAATGACATGTGCAGCCACGTAGTAGTATCTTTGCTGAATGGCTGAATCTTTTTCGCTTCGGGTAGATAGGGTATGCAAGTGACAAAAAGCAATAACTAGCCCTAGAAAGGGTTAACTAAGTCGTTCAGATCCTTTGTTAAGTCGGCATCAGTTCTCTAAATCTTGACAATTTTTTCTTCTTTTGTTTGAATCTGATTATATAAAACAGAGAGGAGCCTTTTTTAGCTCTATCATGGAGCTACTGTACCTAACCTGACTCCGCCAGATGGATTTGCTCTGCATATCCATCTGGAAACCTTCCGTAGAAGTAATTTTGGGAAGGAGCGAAAATACTGTTTAGCTGATTGGCCTATGTTGGTGATAGACGGGCCAGATAAACCAATCAGATCAACGAAGCGTATGACGTAACAGAGCGACGATGAAGAGGAGCCAATTAATAGATCAAACTCTTGCCAAAACCAGTCGGGAGAAGAGCAAAAACATATTTTCCTCTGAGAAAAGCCTCCAGAGCAGTGTTTTGCTCTTCTTTCAGTGAAGAAATACAGTGTAATTCCGATAAAACTTGCTCGATGGCCACGCTAACGCTAGTTTCATCGGCTGAAGCCGCCATGTTCTTTAGACTGAAGTGTCGCGCTTCTCGTTGCGTCACACCTCAACCCGCCTCAAAGCCAACGCTGATTGGACGTTCATTTGGTGAACGGCTCCAAATTTTCTTCAACAGAAAGTAGCCAGACTGATCTGCGAGTGAAACCTTGATAGCTCGCGAGATCAGGATGGTCTCACGAGGCTAGGAGCTACCCTCATAAAGCCTGAGCTCTGACTTATGTGACTTCAATCTGCTAATCTGTGCAGAACCCATTCATGACAATGTTGCAATGGTAACCAGAGCTAAATGTGTGTATATTCTGGCCCCCTTAAAAATGCATAAAACACTGCATACCGGCATAAATGACAGATGTTCTATGGATTAAATGACAGGTACTAACTTGACTGGGTTAGGTTTTATTCTATCTGCTTTGTCATATTCTGCTGGTTTGTGATGCAAAAGAAGGAACATTAAACCTGCACCACTCCTGACTCCTAGAGCACTGGTCTCAAACATCAATCCTCAAGGGCCACTTTGCAGTAACTGTTTCCTTTGCTCTACACACCTTAATCAGATAGCTAAACTCCCCCCCCCAGAGTCAAGTTCAGCTGATGAGCTATCAGAGTTAGGTGTATTGAAGCATTGACACATCTAAAAGTTGTTGGACACGGACCCTTGAGGATTTGATTTTGTGACCCTTGTGTCACATTGTCCTCAAATGTTTCCTCAAAGGGCTTGCTTCAAGGTATCCTCATCATCCAAACCAGGTGAGGAAGTCAGATCCACCACTGTGATCTCTGTTTAGAAATAAAAGCAACAACCATGGGAATCACGTGGTAATTTATTCGTGAGAGAACAGTGTCATGGATACAGCATATGGGGGAAGTCATAGACGTACAAAAATCCCTTTTTGTGTTTTCAGCACAGTTCTTAATTCCATAAATAAACTTTACAAAATATTTTTTTCTTGACAAATTGTCTCATCTGTTCCAAATGAGCAGGGGTACGGTTGCCACCCGTTGTTGTATGTCTAGCAGGTAATGTCGGCACCCGTACTTTGGATGTACAGACAGTGCTCTGTTAGAACAATGACCTGATAGGCGCAGTGATTGGACAACAAAATTAAAGTCATTAGGGACACGAGTCCTTTTGTCTTCGAGCTTGTGATTGTTAAACCATCCACAGTGTCTCACAAAGTGATTTCATCTCATAGGCCAAAACAAGGTAGTACATGACTGCAAAGCAAAGAAAAAAACAAATCTTTTTTTTGTGAATAAAAACCCTAAAACTCTTGTCCCTTAAATCCCTTAAACAAAATTCAATGCACCGTTTATCTTAAAGGTCCCCGAAATAGTAGTTTGTGTACAAATCCAGCTCCTCTTAAAAGCCTCACACATTTGTGAACGACATTAGTGAACAAACCGCATCGTGGAGACGAAGAAACACAGCAGACAGGTCAGAAATGAAGCTTTGGAGACATAGATTGTAAAATAACTCCTTAATCTTTTAACATCTTACACAGTTTTTTTGTGGATTACCCACAGATGGAAATACTTTTGTAAAACGGCAGCATTATGATGTAGGGATGCTTGTCTTTAGCAGAGACAGAGAAGCTGGTTATATTTGATGAGAAAATTGAAAGAAGAAAAGAAGTAATGGAAGAAGGTCTGTTAGAGGCTGCAGAGGGTTTGGGGTTCACCTTCCAGGAACACAGAAACAGCCCGAAACACAATGAAAGGGTTAAAATCAGATCAATATGTTCATGCTTTAAATGGGCCTAGTTAGAGTCTAATTCAAATTGAATTAAGGATTAACTAAGGAGGCAGATTTCAGTCTGAAGTTGTGCAAAACAGGTAGAAAGAGGCCCTAAAAGACTTACAGATGTGATTAGAGCTGAAAGTGGCTCAAAATATATACTGATAGGGGGAGAGGGGTGTCGTTTATATCTTTATAAGCTTTAAAAATATGTAATTTTCTCTCCGTGTCACAATTATGCTCAACCTTATTTTAGTTTATGACATAATAAAAAAATACATGGGGTTTAACATTCCAACGTGACTAAATGTAAAATACGTCAGTGGTAGGCTAAGGTTTTCATCCCATTGTATTACTAAGTGTTTTCCCCTGTGCATCTTCCAAAAAAAAAAAAAAAAACGGAGACAGGACCTTAAGAGGCAAGCTGTAAACAACGCAACCTTAGCTGGAAATGAGAAATATCTAAAAGCTAAGACAAAATCTGCCACTAGACGTCTGTAAAAAGTAAGATCTCTAGATCCGCCCCTTTGCTCTTTTCGTCAAGCTTAATTTCAGACATGATTCTGACTGAACATGTAACACATATTCACAGTTCATTTTGACCCCCAACCTTAAAAAAAATGATTAAAAAATAAAAAACAAAACAAACATGGCTCCAAAAAAATCTCTAATTTCCAGATGGTAGAACTTGAGATGCTGGTGGAGCATTGACGTAGTTAGCATCTGAGAGGCAGAGCGCTATTATGGCACAAAAGCTCAGGGCTTAGGAGGGCTGGGCTGGGGGATTCTTATTTACAAAATAGATGTTTGGCAATTTTTTTTATTTCTACACTGACACCTTAGAGTCACCTTGATGTCTTTCACAACTCCGTTGTCACCAACTAAGAATTCACAGCTTATAAAAGTCGAAGAATCAGTCTTTGATTTAGTCCCAGGCCCACAGCTGAGTTTGTTGCATCTACTCCAAGTCTGCTCATTAAAACTGGTAGAACAGTGGAGCAATATGATTAAAACTTGCTGCTCCTCTTCAACGCGTCCCAAAAAACGTAATTTGCATCAATAACGTCGTTTTAAACGAGTCTCCTTTCAGCTTGCAAGAGAAGGATGCACACACCTCCTGGATCAAGGATCGAGTTAGAGATCAAAGGTCACTTCCTGGTTGAAGAGTTATTTGATTGGACATGCTGAGGAGGGCAACAGAGTACAGTGTGTGGCCTCACGAGAAAAAAATTATACAGTTCCTCTCATAGCCAGAAATATCCTTTAAAGTTTATTAAAAAAAACAGCTAGTCTGTGTAATCACAGTCACTCGTATGTCTTGCTTTTCCCAGAAGCTCCAGTTCCAGGATTAAGAGCTTGTACAGGCTAAAAGAAAAAAAAAGAAAAAAAAAAATCTCATTAGCGTATTGATTAATCTCACCACAAGGGGGCAACATTACGCCTTCAAATCTTCAGACTGGTTTACATCAAGGCTCCAGTTGGCAGCAAAGCATTCATTCACAGTAAAAATGGGAGAAATACTGACAGATGGAAATATGAAACCAATAAAGGACAGAAAGAGGGGTTTATGGGGAAAGGAATGAGGCAAAGGAAGTCGAGAATAAAAAGAGTAGAGGAGTAGAGACACAAATGTCACAGTGTGAAGACAGCTGATTAATAACTGTGGGAAATGAGAGGAAGAAAGGGATGATGAAATGCTTACCCTCTTCCCCATATGCTTCCCTCTAGCTGTCTTCCTGTGGACCGGTCTTATCCGCAGGCTCTGCAGCGTCGCTTGGCACCGGAGACTCCGACCTTGCAGCAGCAGAACCCTGGAAGAGAGAGAAATCAGCTCTTCTTAACTCACGTTTTAGGAAAATGAGGCCTATAATCATCGTAAAAGATTTCCCCTTATTACATGACCTAATCAGCGCCTTTAATTTGTGTTTGACCTTTGATGTCTAATTGATTTGACATTTGTTCCTTGATGTAAATAACTGGAGTCCAGTTCGCTCATGATAATCACATGACATTCTGCTCTGTGCAATCATACATCATCCCCACTGCAATAAGAGTCAGTTAAGTCACATCCATGAATCCCCATCGAAGGACATGTGGTCCCCAGGGATGAAGCGAGTACTTACTGATTGTTCCTCCCTGGCGTTGCTTGGGGATCCCTCTGGGTCAACTGGTGAGTGATCTGTTGGGGGGTCGCTGCCCTGGGAGGGGGGGCAGTCTGAAGACGAGCTCTGCTGAGGGGCAGGTGTGGAGGCTGCAAACAGCATAGGGGAGAGAATGTCAAGGGAATACGGTGAAATGAAAGATCAAAATCTAGATCGTGACCTTTAGAGCGTTCAACGAAGTGAGCTTTCAGATGAGGCACAGCTCTGTTTGTCTTGACAGTTTGCTTCACATATTCAGCTTCCTTCTTTCCAAGACCCTCTTCTAGGGAACAAAACAAGACTACAAGGTGTGCCGGAAAGGAAGACAGGCTAATTGGTGGAACAGCTCTGAGACAAACACTAATGTCTAACAATTAGTGGCAAGTAAAAGAGTAAGGCTGTGATGCCAATTTCACAGTAAACCGACAACAGCAGTAAAGATAAGAGCTCAAAGCAGTTAACAAGACATTTGTAGCAATGCAGAGATGAATATGAGAACAGAAGCACTGCTATGCAGTCGGGGGGGGGGGGGGGGTGTGGGGGGGCGTAAAAAGATCTAGGTAGGGTGGCAATGCAGAACCTATGCATTGAAATACTGTATGTAAGAAATGTTATGTTTTTGATGCAGTCAACAAAACATCCAAGCTTAACATAAAAAAACTCCCTATTGTGCCATTTCTTTCTTCTCACAGAGAAATACATTTTGTAGCTACTAGCAACCCGAGTGAAACAAATGATCCACTGAATAGATAAATAAATAAATAAATAAATACCAGAGACGTCAGAAAAAGCAAATGTTAAAAAAAATGCTCAAAAAATCATATCCATTTATTAGTCCATAAATTAAACCTTAAACCAAATGTCTGTGAGTCCATCTGTCTCTTTTTTCACTCTATCCATTCATGTTTCCTTCCTTCCTTCCTTCCTTCCTTCCTTCCTTCCTTCCTTCCTTCCTTCCTTCCTTCCTTCCTTCCTTCCTTCCTTCCTTCCTTCCTTCCTTCCTTCCTTGATCAGTCTTATTTATAACATATAATCTTGGGAACTGTTTTGGAGTTTTACCAGGATAGACATGTAGGAATGCGATTATTTTTCCCCATTTCCTATTTTACTTTCACTGAGAAAAGTTCACAAACATCAGTTTTATTCTGACAACAGTGAATGAGAAGATTGGACATCATGTGGATCAGTTCTAAGGCAGACATTTCATTTGCTAAGGCTACAGTCTTTGTTTCCCCTCAGACCAATTACTTACAATGCTGCAAAAACCAAAACAAATCAATCAAACAAGCAAATAAATCAAAAGATGCTACAAATCAAGCCCATTTGCAGAAAAATTAACCAGGTATTTATTTTTAGATATAATAAATTTATTTTCAGCACAGTTCAGAGTTGAGGTCATCCAAATGCAGAGTTTGCTACACTTTACCAGAACGGCATGCTCAGGTCAAATAGGGTTGATGTTTGATGATTGTTTGATATTTGAACAGATTCTTATATATGATGGAGAATCTGGGATGTTTTAGTTTAATCTAAATACTCACTAACATAAAATACAAAATCGATATTTTAAACATAAATCTGGGAACTCTGCCAGACAACGTAAAACAATTGGAGCAAACAAAATCATCTAAAACGTAAAACTAAACAATGTGTTCATCAAGTCTTCGGTCCTAAATCATATAGAACAACTTTAGGCTGAGCTCACAGTAAGAGAGCAGAAGAGCCGAGACAAGACTAAGGAGAGTTTTAAGAGATTATGCAGATTGGAAAAGTCAAAGATCTGTTTCCCTAGATAACTCAGTTCTGTACATAAGGCATGTAACCAGTGGTTTAGTCAAAACAACTTCAATTAAATATTGTGATGTTAGGCTACTTCCATATAAAGGTGTTTTCCTGAATTCTAAAATCATTATCAAGGTTTAGATGAGTTAAGATGTTTTAAAACATAAACAAATTGCATTATACATATACCCTGTATATAAATGAGTAAAGTTTATTCATAATGACGTACGTGATTCAGTTGATGGTGAGGTGGATGTTCCTGGGCTTAAAGTCATCCTGGACAGATCAAGGTCACTACAGCTACCTTCTTCCTCCTGGTTGGCTGTAGCCTGAGGTGGCAGCAGTTGACTGCAGGCTAGCGTGTCAGGCACACTCATGGGAGCAGGGGTTCCACACCTACTCCCTCCTGCGGCCACAGCTCCAGGTCCCACCCCTCCTGATGTGGATGGGCCTTCGCCTGCGTCCGAATCAACGCTGAGTCCATCTTTCCCCAGGCTCAGCTGCCTCATGAGTAGGGCAGGGTCCGCCATGTGCTGGGGGCTTGTGATGGCCGACGAGGGGGCCGACAGGTCGCAGGCTTGGGGGCACACTGTGGTAATGGGTACCAAACCTTGGAGCATGGCAGCTGGTATAGCGTGGCCCCCAACTCCCACCGTCTGGGTCGGCATATATGCTGCCATGGCCGCCCACTGCTGCTGAGTGGCAGGGAAAATATTGGCCTGGCTCAGGATGATTGGCTGGCCACCGGGGAGGACCTGAGCCACCTGGAGGGGACCCTGCATGGGGAATGCCAAAGTCTGAGCCTGGGTGGGAAACGACTGCTGAGCCCACTGAGCCGCCTGAACCGGCCCCATGGTCATATAACCTGAAGGAGAAAAACAAAAGGAGGGAAACAATAAAAAAAAAAAAAACTACAAAGACAGCGAGAGGAAGTACAGCATTATTCTTATAATCAACACTTCAGTAGCTGAAGGGCTCAGAGGTTCCACAACATTAGGAGACCAAACAGGAACCACAGAAATCAGGGATGAAGTTGCAGGGATGTTTAAAGCCTTTAAAGAGTTAAGAAGGTAATAAACAAAGATCCCCAACATTTGAGAGAAATCTGAATAAGATAAATGCAAGAAGAAACTGTCTCAGTGACAGAGAGAAGGAACTCTGTGTAGATGACTAGGTTAGGAGAAAAACTAAAAATAATCCTTAATCCTTCCACTCTGCATCATACTCTAGGACACTTTTCTACAGCAGAGAAAAGAAAGCCAGTTGGAGCAAATGTGCATTTAATTGACCTTGAAATGCAGAACTGGAAAGTTGGTGTGATGCAATCAAAGAGGTGATATTTTTCCAATTTCACCTCTATGGTCACTCATGCAACTTTTCCAACAATAGCAATGGCAAACAAACTATTCTATGTATGCATATGTACAGCTTGAGTATAAACACTGAAAAAAGTTGGTATAAAGCTGACCAATTTTTATGTGAATAAAAAAGAACTGATACATAAAAAAAACCGATAAAGTCAGACGGTTAAATTACTGTTGATGCGAGTTTAAGCTATCATGAAATCAGACGTCAGGTAGCTCTTGCCCCAATTTTTTTATTTGTAATTCAGGCATTTAAGTTAGTCTCCAGGTACAAATACAAAATTCACCATTAACAGGAAGTTCCAACTCTAATTGCAAAACAGAACCGCTTGCAATTATTCTCTATGCAGTCTGACTGAATTCATGGTACTTTGTCAATAAACAGCCAGAAGTATCAGTGTTAGCATGAGCAAAACTGGGATAGACATAAACCAAAATTGACCGGAAGCTACGTTTTCAGCAGACATGGTTCCTCTTTCACTCAGAGGGGCCACGTTTTTCATATTTTAATCTGAACCCAACCACCTTCTTGGAACACTTCTTTCCACCAGACAGAATTGTATTAATATATGTTTGTCAATTAAACAAATGGTCAATAAAGTTGATTGGGATTTGTATTTGTGAGGAAAAAAAATGCTTCAGGTAAAAGAATATGAATACTTTAAAAAGATGTGATATTTGCTTTATATTCCATGCCTAAATGGGCTTGAGTCATTTTTTCTTACTTTTAATTAAATAAATCAACCCTGCTGAAGAGACAGTTCTATGCGATAAAAAGTGAATTTGCTGTGGTACTAATTAGCATTTTAGTTGAAATTTGAACTGTGGATGGCTACCTGATGGCACAGAGGTCGGGCTGAAGGGGGCGTACAGCTCTGCGGGGGTGTGCTGCTGCTGGCGGCTGCTCCTGTTCGGGTCCAGCGTGTTGGCAGGTGACGGGGGCATCTGGGAGGAAACGCATACACAGATGTCACCTCTATCAAAGTCAGCTGAAAGTCACTTCAACCTCGATCTGTGGGTTTCTACTGTCAGATATCACAGTAAACATAAATTGGTTTTGCTGGTAGTACTCACCGAGGGAGGGGTGGACATGTCGCCGAAAAGATCAAAGTGGTTGATGTTCTGTGAGTTGAACCGTGCAACAAGGGGGGAGGGGGAGGGGGGAGAAAAAAGTCTGGTGATACATCAGCACCTGAAAACACTGAGTCATGACAGATTTATTTTTACATGGGGAATGGTGGCTGCACGGCTGGCTAGGTGAGGAAAGTAAAATCTATTCATAAAGACACTTTGTGCTGCGGATGGCGAGAAACAACTATCCGCTCATTTCATTATCAGTTAATGGATCTAAAATGAATCTTTCATGCTTCACTATAATTGAGTTGGTAAAAGGCTATTGGGTTCCATAAAAAAGACTCTGATTAGATATTCTTATGTCTGCCAATCATGAGCGGTCCCGGTGAGAGCCTGGGCCACTTTATCATGCTGATTTTGCTCCAGGAGGAGATACATAGACACAGACGTGTGGGTTTAATTCAACCAATAATGGAAGAAGCCCTGGGAATCACCAGACCGAGACTATGGGACCACCTCCCCATATATGCAGACATACACCCCCTACTCTACTACCCCCTCTGTGGTCTACTCACACTACTTATTGTACAGTGCTGGAAAGAAGTATTCGCAACCTGACAGATTTGTTCTGTTTTGCTGTTTTGTTGCACTTGAAATGTTCAATCAATCAAGACATATTGTAATATCTGACAAAAATAACCAGACATAACAGAAAATAACCTAAAAAAACCCAAAAAAGAAATAATGATTTCAATTATTGTGGGGAAATACCTATCCAAACCAGATTCTTGTTCAATTAGTGTAAAATACAGAACCTGTATGACAATATGAAGTAGTCTAAATGGTCCTTAAAAGTAAAAAAGAAAAAAAGATAAAAAATACTTGAAACAAAAATATTGACATCATTTGTAAAAATTTAGCACTCCTGTGAACCACAGTCAGAGCCTTTACCCGCAAATGGATGAAACCAAAATGACCCCAAGAGAGCTTCAATGATTCATCCAGGAGGTCAAAAAACCACCTTAGAGATTTCATTTAGCCCAGTAAAGGGTTCTTCTACACTATGCTGCCAAAACATTTGCTCACCCATCCAGATACATGCAGTTGAAATAATGTGCTATAACTGCTTACTTAGCCATAAGTGAATAAAATCCAGCATCAAGCTTGCAAAACTTTTTAAACGAAAATTTGTACAACCTGACACAAGCCAGATTAATACAGATAGTTCAATTTGAATTGTACACCTGGTAAGGCTCCCGTAGAAAGTGTTACGCAAAAGAGAGAGACATTCAGTAAAATTCTTCAAGCTGATTGGCTAATTTAAGTGGCACAAGCCTCCCATGTTGAGCTTTTAGCAAATTGCCTAAGCCATAGCAGCTGTGACATATCACATTCTGGATAAATTTCATGACGAGCAGAGTTGACTGATAAATCAAACGGTTACCAAATCCTGTTTGGAGCGACGCATAAACATCTTTCCCATCCAAAAGGCACAAATGTGTTCTTTTAAAACGTATTCCAGCTAAAACTGGCACAGCCATGTTTGTTTTGCTGCAGCCTTCCACCTCTGATTGACACGTTGGCATCATACATGTCCCTGCATTTCATTGGTCCGAAACATTTTTGCATCGAGGATAATGTTGGCTTCTGGCAAGATGTATTTAGTGAGTTTATGAATTAAAAAATCTCGCAACAATTCATCTCGCTTGCAAGGTAAGTCACATTCAGGATCTTGATCAATATTAACCTCATGTTCTTTTCCCCCTAAATACTCAATCCTCAAATGTTATTGATATTATAAAGAAGTGGAGACGAGCACCTCGGCCATGCAAACTGATGCAGCAGGACAGTGGATGCTGACGCCTATAGAGGCTGATAGAACGCCATACTTCAAGTGACTTTCTGATTAGCTCTGGAATATGCTGGTGAAGATTCCCAGTCATCCAGGATTGTTTTTTGTTTTTTTAACTTTTTTGAAATAGCTCTGGAAGAGTGTATAGAGAGCTTCACGGAATGGGTTTCAATTGCTACACAGCTGCATCCAAGCCATACATCGGCAAGCTCAATGCAAAGCATCTGATGCAGTGGTGTAAAGCATACAGTAAGTAAAATAACTATTTGAGCACCCAGCTATTTTGGAAGTTCTCCCACTTAGAAATAATGGAGGATTTCTGAAATTGTCATTGTAGGTTCATTTCCAATGGGAAAGATAATAAAAAAAAAAAAAAAATCAGAAATCACTATGTAATTTTCAAAAAATATTTATTTGTATGATACAGGTACAAATAAGTATTTCAACATCTGAAAAAAAAAAATCAATGTTATTAGTTGATACAGTAGTCTTTGTTTGCAATTCCAGAGGTCAAACATTTCCTGTAGTTTTGCACCAACACTATGCAGGAGGGACTTTGGCCCACTCCTCCACATAGATCTTCTCTACATCAGTCAGGTTTCTGTATGGGGTGCACAGGTGTCTTTATGCAGTTAACGGCCTCAAACAGGTGCATCTAATTTAGGATAATAAACGGAGCGGAGGTGGACATTTTGAAGGTAGACTAACAGGTCTTTGAGGGTCAGAATTCTAGCTGATAGACAGGTGTTCAAATACCTTTTTCAAGCTTTATAATACAAACAAATAGTTTAAAAAAAATCATATATTGTGATTTCTATATTTTATGTTTTTTAGATTATGTCTCTTACAGTGGACATGCACCTACAATGACAATTTCAGAACCTTCCATGATTTTCAATTCGGAGAAATTGCTAATTAGCAGGGTGTTCAATACTCTCACTGTAACTGTCAAGTTTTGGATTTAAATATATGGGATATTTATCTATCCCAGTCAAGATCCAGTTTCGATCATTTTTTAGGACAGGTGCACAAGACATCTAAAATAAACGCTTGTTAACCAGTTGCAAAAGATAGCTCTATAGCCCATGAAAAGGGTTTAGCAGTGAACCTTATAGGTTACCAAAGGAATGCAGCTTAAGTTCCTATTCAAGTCAAAGAGGGTGAGCAAATAGTTTTGGCAATCTCAGCTTAGTAATAAGAAAAACACTGGGCTAAAATGTGTAAAAATTTGTCCAAAGAAGCTCCTGTTTAAATCCAAGACTTATGGATTTAAACCGCATATCCATCTGGAAACCTTCCGTTAAAGTAATTTTGGGAAGGGGAATCATACTGGTTAGCTGATTGGCCTATGTTGGTGATAGACGGGCCAAATAAACCAATCAGATCAACGAAGCATATGACGTACTAACAGAGCGACGACGAAGAGGAGCCAATTGATAGATCAAACTCTTGCCGAAACAAGTCGGGAGAAGAGCAAAAACATCTTTTCCTCTCAGAAAAGCCTCCAGAGCAGTGCTTTGCTTTTCTTTCAGTGAAGAAATACTCTGTAATTCTGATAAAACTTGCTCGATAGCCACGCTAACGCTAGTTTCATCGGCTGAAGCTGCCATGTTCTTTAGACTGAACTGTCGCGCTTCTCGTTGCGTCACACCTCAACCCGCCTCAAAGCCAACGCTGATTGGACGTTTGTTTGATGAACGGCTCCAAATTTTCTTAAATGGAGAGTCTCCAGACTGATCTGCGAGTGAAACCTTGAAAGCTCACGAGATCAGGATGGTCTCACGAGGCTAGAAAATCTCCAGAAATCTGCTGTAATGCATTTTAGATAAAAAAGAAATAACCTAAAATAAACATCATCCCAACAGTTAAACACTAGAGGTAGCAGGACAGTCAGGCTGTTTTACCATTTCAGGACATGGATGACTTGCTGAAACTAATAGAACCACAAAGTCTGATTTATGCTATAAATATTCAAGGAACAAGTCCAGCCAATTTACTTTAAGCTCAAGTGGACTTGCAATATCTTAATAGAATGATTCTGAGAGCCCTAATCAAACTTTGGATTTAAATCCACACCAGATAATGTAGAATTTCACATCCTTTACACTAGTGTAAAAGATTGATGTCGTTAGTGGCCTCTAACCAGTTAAAGAGGATAAATGACTTTAAGTGTTTTCCCAAAAGGCTGGGCATGCTAGGATAGCCGTTTCCCCTTCATAATTGGACATCTGTATTTGCTCAGATTATGTTTTTAGATATAAGGATTTTCTGATCATTTATATGGAAAAAAAAAGCAAAACCAGCAAGAAAATCTGTCAGAGAGCAAAAACATTTTTCCAGCCCTTCAAGTAAAAATTGTAAATATGAAATGGAAATAACACCCCAAACAAAACAGAACCGCATGGAATGGTTGGAGCCATGCTTAAGCAGACAGTGAATACGTGAAAAAGCACGGGGAATTCTCACAAAACACACAGAATCGCATGCTATAACTAAACTCACAGAAAAACAGTAACGTTACAAAATAAAAAAAGAAAAGAGAAGGAGGAAGGACAGCAGTCAGTTTTGCTGCTGACGTTGTGTTTATGTCCTGCTCCAGAAGGCTCGGACATAAAGGTGGTAACACAGTTTGCACGGCACGCTGATACCATCGAGGGCCACAGAATGAGTCAGAATTTGGAGGAAAAAAAAAGAGCAAACATTGTACACAGGGGACCTTCCCCCGAGGGAGCTGACACACATCAGAGGAGCTCCAGGCTCTCAAAAAGCTCCAACTGAATGAACAGACAAGCAGTAACACTTAGAGATATGGAAGCACTGCTGCCTAAACTGGCATGGGCTGTTTAGGTGCGATAGCAACTGGGCTGAGACAGTTTATCTGTCTGATATACTGGGCTGCAAACACACAAATGACTTTTTTATTTATGTATATATTTTTGGTGAATGTGGGGTAAAATGGGTTTGAATACATGATTATGAGACAGCACTGTCACTGAATGGTGGATATTTCGCAATGAACCCAGTTTCAGTTTGATAAAAGCAGGGCAGAAACCTTAAATGCTTCAATTTACTTTTAAAATAGGGGAGTTTTTTATGGGCATTTCTTGGCCTTGATTTTAAATGAAACAACACAACATGCAACTCAACTCAACACTTCAGCCACCTACAAACCTCTCATTTTCCCCTCTGAGGAAGACAAACACAGCCATTACGTTATCTACGGAGCATAACAGGCTCGGCGTTTCAGTCCAATGGGACCAGCAAACAGATTTTTTTTTTTCATCTCGACCATCTGGTTATGATACGCATCTAATTCAGCACAAGATTGGATTTTGTACACAAAGCTGGCCCATCTAATGTTCTGTGTAATTACAGGCGACTATGGTCGACCAACTTGTTGGCTTTAAGTCTTCAAGATTCTGCTTTACCATCAGCCTGATTATCATTGATTATCATCAGACAAAGAACAAACACAGAATCTTGTTCTTCTGTGGCTTGAGTTTCTTTTTTGAGTCCATGCCCTGCATTAATGCAGTGCCTCCCTGTAACTTGTTCAGGTGTCATGATCCAGTCACACACCTCATTTTGCCTTTCATGTGATGGGCCAACACAAAGTACTACTACAGTAAATGGCACTTTATGCACAATCTTCGACAATATTACTTCATAGTCATTAAAACTAGACAGAGAGAAATCAGTTTTCAAGACTGGCCACAGATGTCAACACTTTGACTACATGGCATCTAGCTAGGATTTGATCAAACTAGGGGTTAGCAAACTTTAGAGTGTACTGACTCATTTTTGCCCCATCCATCCATCCATCCATCCATCCATCCATCCATCCATCCATCCATCCATCCATCCATCCATCCATCCATCCATCCATCCGTTGGGGTTTCATTGGGGCCGCTGCCTAACAGTCTATGGGTGACAGGTGGGTTACAACCTGGACAGGTTGCCAGTCTGTCGGAGCATTTATACCCCCTGGTTTTGCTGTACTAAAAACTCTCTACAGCTATAAAACCAACTCACCAAATTGGAAAAAAAGATAACTAGAGATTCATAATATTTCCTAAATCTTAAATGATAAAATAAAAACATGTTTTTATTGTAAAGAAAAGCTTTAAAAATTAAAAATAGCATGAAAACTAAAAAAACTCCAAGAAAAATGCATTACCTGCAGCCTATTGATAGAGGTCAGAGGGACATATCAAAAGGTCTGTACACACCCTGTTATTTTAGAAACTCTGAGTTGAAATTACAATGTTAAAACCAGCCATTCCATAGAATATATGTTTAGGAAAGCAGCTTGTATCATAGTTTAAGTCAGAGTTCTATTCTAACCTTTTGCTTAATATTTGGAGGCATTTTCTTGCTAAGAGGCTAATGATTTTCTGTAGCCTCCTACAGCATTTCTTTCAGTATTGTCTTATTTGTAGCTCCAATGACTTTAATATCAGGTCTGACCAGCTTACTGGTGCCTGGTGAAGAAAATAATCCAAACAGCATGTGAAGATGATGTGTGGTCAGGTCATTTTTCTACTAACACAGCATTTTGCATGTTGGCCAGAAGGTTACATTTTGGTTTAATCTCACCAGAGCATGTCTTCTACATGATACCTTGTTTCAACAATTCATCTTTCTTTTTAATGCTTCTTTAAAGACCAAGTTGAGAGGCTGCACAGATGAAATAAGATATCTATTAACATCTTATCCCACCAGAGCTGTGGAGCTCTGCAGCTCCTCCGGAGTTGTGTAGATTCTAATGGCTACTTGTCTTTAAAATGCTTTCTTTGCCCAGCTTATGTCATATTTTCCTAATTTTTAGATGATAAATTATGCAGAATTGAGTTGGATGTAACAACTCAAAGATTTTACAACATTAGCCTGCAATAAACTTCATCGTAGGGTAGTATCTGACCTGTCTGCTGTGTTGTTTTGTCTTCATGAATGCTTTCTACAGGCTTTCACAGAATAGGTGGATTTCTACTGATATTAATGTACAAACCAGAAAAATCTTTTGTGGTAATGTTTGCCATTGTGCAGTACTTTGTGTTGGTCCACTCCTTTAAATCCAAGTCAATGCATTGGCTGTAGAGACAACATCTGATGTAGTTAAAAGGAGGATGTGAGTTTTTCTGTAAGCTACTGTACTTCAACTATTATTCAATTTGAGCAAATCTTTGAGCATAATTTAAATCTGTCAGGTATGGCTCAAGGAACTCCCTTCAAGAGGGGCTTAAAGAGAGGTTTGTAAGCGACAAAGTAAGAAAATAAAAACAAAATAAGTAAATAATGCAAAATGAAAACACCTACAGTCATGAAATGGCGTTTAGGAACATCATAGATCCCTTCCTTCTGCTGACTGGTTGGGACCTGCATTAGATCGGATGTCGATTGGTATGGAAGGCACAGATCAACACCTTTCACTTTTCCTTTGCTAGCCAGGTATTTAAACACATAGGTTGTGCAAAAGCTGAAAACATGTCTATTAAAACAGCAAAAGGTTTACTCAATCAATTTCCATCCAGGCTAATGTTTTAGTCGCACTCTTATCTTTTAGCAGTGCAGGATTATGCAAATTCTACAGTGGAGCTGCTGGATCAATTCTGTTTCAATCGATACTGATGGCAAACAAAGCTTGAAGGAGGTTCAGTGTGTATTAAGGAACCCTATTGTTATTCAACAAAAGTCTACGCTGTCTTATTTGATGATATGAAAATGCATCAGCTCGGGCATTTTTCCTCAATGCCTTTTTTTCCCACAGCTATCCAAGCTATCTGCTGCTCTTAACCCTGCTGCTCGCCTCTTCAACCGCTCCCTCAACTGGTTAACTTTCAGTTATGTTTCCCCCCCAAGTCTATTGATCTTGTTTCACTCTGAGATCAAATGGCATGGCAAGTGATTAATCTCTCTCTCTCTCTTTCTGCAACTTTCATCCTTAGAGAGGCAGAAAGAGGAGGAGGAAGAAGAAGACCGGGGACCAGGAAGGGAGAGGGTGGGATTAAAATGTAACCATGGGTCCCTGGGGTTCTATGTGGTCCTTCAAATGGTCCAAAATCAAAAGGTCAGGGTGTTGGATGTACAAAAAGACCTTAGTATATAGACTATGGATGACTTAACCTAGCCTCAAAACACTGTAATTCAATATACAGTCATTTGTTGCCTTTTTGTCACTTAAATATTTTGTTAACAAATTTTATTATCAGACAAAGATAACCTGAGTAAATACAACTGTACTTTTGAAATAATAATTTTATTTATTAAGATAAGGTATCCAAACCAACCGGCCCTTTATGAGGAAGTAGTTGTACTCTGAACTTAATAACTGTTTGTGCAGCAAAAACTGATATTAAGTGTATGATTATATATAAAACTTGGCAAAGATTGTTTTACGTCTCTGTGGAGGAACTGGAACTGCATTTAAGGTCCTTTGAAAATATCTCTATAAAGCGTGAATCCTGACTTTGAGAAACTGTCAGACATTTTTTTTATTGAGCAGTTGCTATGCTGGACTTGGTGTTGTGATGTTGATCATTGTCCTTCTAAATAGCAGGTCAGTAGGGCATTAAACCCTCTGAACTCTCCCATGGCTGCCATTTTAGCCCTGCCTCTTCAGGTTTGATCATAATCACTGACCTTAGATGAGGCTAAGAAGGTCTTTGCTACTTTAGGTGCTCTTCTATAAAGGAGCCCTAGTCACGTACTATATATATATATATATATATATATATATATATATATATATATATATACTAAGGTTTTTTAATTAAATGATTAGATCAGTTATTATATTTTATTTCTGTGTTATACACCTTATTTTTATCTTTTTTGTTTAGTAAACAAATAACTTTTGTGCATATATATCATAATAAGACAGAGTGGCCAGTGTTATGATATTTGGCATGAGTAATTCATGCAGAGTGAAGAATGAGACAGAAGGGGGTGATATTAGTCATTTAAACTTGTTTTCAACCACCATAATGACTAAAGAACAAAACGTAACTAATAAAAAGGCCTCGCGTTTGATGGTAGCAATGGTTGCCTCTTTTTTTGTACAAAAATTTTGTACTAAAACTCAATTTCACCCTACTGGAGTGCTGCTTCAGGCTGAGTGACAAATAAAACTAATCTGATTAAAATAGACAATGTTAACAATAAGAAACAAGGGAGCCGAGTTAGTCAGCTGCACCCAGTGGAGGTACAAAAAGGAAGGAAGAAGTCCTAGATAGAGTGTGGAAAAGCTAAAAAAAAAAAAAAATTGAATGGCACAAGGGATGAGACTCGAATAGCATCCAGAAAAGAATAGGAATGTTGGTGTTTGCAGTAGCGGGAGCTAAAGCTGCAGAAGAATTTCGATTTGACTGAAGTGTGAGTCCATGGCGCAATGTAGGTTTATTTTGTATTCTTTTGATTGATAAATGCCACTGAATTTGCTTTTAACGTGCTTCCTGTCGGCAGAGAGGTTCCATTTAAGTCATTTTTTAATTACCCGTCTGGTATTAGTCAGTATAATGGTTGGTTTGGATAGATTTTGGATTTATTGGATTGGATTCACTTTAAATTCAATTGATTCACTTTAATTGGACTCTTCACTTTATTTGGATTTAGTTTTTACATATACATAGATATAAGTACAGAAATATATACAGAAGAGCTATATGTGTATATATATTTTATCTCTTTTTATTCTTATTTTTTTTATCTTTATTATATTGTATAGTTGAATGTGTGTATATATCATGTAAAACTGAAACTAGAGTGTGTAACAAAAGTAATTTCCCTCTGGGATTATTAAAGTATTTCTGATTCTGATTTTGCATCTTAATGAATTAATTAAAAATTTAAATATTATATTTGCTCAGGTTACTGTTGTCAGATCGTAAATTTTTAAGATGATCCTAAATAACAAAAAAGGAAAAATAAGTCTTTAAATCTTTTAAAGGGCAAATTGTTTTGAGGAAATTTAATTAATTTCAATTTCAAATCAACATTTCAACAATGCGAGTGCAAATTTAAGGCTTCCACTTCTTAAATGTTTTGTAAACCTATTTTTTTTATCCTTTTATGTTGTTACTAAAACTCAATAAAGTCCTACCATAAAAATCAGTCAGTAAACTGCAGGTAACACCTGAATAATATTAACTACTATCTTTTTATTACAAGGTATGAAGAGGGAGAAAAAAGTGGGGCAAAACTTGTCTTTGTACCTGATAAACGCTCTCCTCTGACTGGGGGCCACGGAGGGGTTCGTGTCCAGCCTCAAACACTATATACTATAGAACAGAATCAGTGGTCAAAGCATAGAGATGCAGAAAATAATGAGAGAGGAGGAGATAGAGAGAGCAAGAGAAGATGGCACATAAAACAGAGAGATAGAGGTCAGGAGACATGAACAGAATAAGTGAAAGCACGAGGGAGCCAGGATGGTGTTGAATGGAGAGTGAAATGAGATCAGGAAAAAGAAGGGTGCAAAAAATGGGGCATGGGAAAGAGGGAGGAAAAAAGAAAAAAAAAAGAGTGAGGTGGGAAGAGGAAAGAGCACAAGTATAACAAGTCAGGCAATCGTTCAAGGCAATGCGGAGGTCTAAGCTGAAGCCTCAGCAAAGTGAAACTCCACATTTAGTATAAAAAAATAGCTTCAGTTTTTTTTGTCTTTCAAAACCTCATCACTTTAAATCCACAAAAAAATGAAATGAAATTGAATAAATTAATTTGACATTTTGGGAGATATGGGTAACGATTCAAAACATAACTGGTTGGTAGTGCATTAACAAAGCTGTGAGGACAGTTAAGCTTTTACTAAAAGGTTGATGACCAAAAGATGCAATATATTCAGAAGGTGGAATTTTCATCGAGGAATGGCGTTACATACAGCTGATAACTGCCATTAGCAAAACATATAATAATAATCCAACAAAAAAATGTGACAGAGCAGCCTTGCTATCCTCTCCAGACCACTTAAGACCATTCCACAATTTGGAACTGAACAATTAGGCTCTACTTCATTATATCATCATTAACTTTCATATGGTTCAGCTATATGCTGAAAAAGCAGTATGATTTCAGTTTCTCTTCAGGCTAGCTTTAAGTACCAATGCTGGGAGAATACAAGATAAAACTGTCTTCCTTACATTAAAACACTGCAATCGCACCTAAACTACCTGACAGAATAAAATACTATATGCTGCATTTAAAGGGGCTGTATCATGCAAAATCAACGTTTTAACTGTGTAATTTGACCATATTAGGATGCTATTTCTTAATAAAAATCATGCACAAAGTGGTCACTTGTTTTAGGCATGTCTGAGTAATCCTCGTAAATTCTTCTCTGAATCCTGGAACACACGTGTCCATCAATGTATTTCACAGAAAATTGATTAGTTTATTCCTCTAAGAAACACCTACTCTGACCTTGCCCTACATGCCAAGGAAACAACTTGCCCGTAGTGGGATTATTTCAGCTCAAAGTTTAAAAGATTTGTCTCTTTTAGCAGCTAATCTGCACAGTTACAGCAATCCCTCTTTTTTTAAAGACAGTGTCTAAATCTAAGATGTCTTTTCTTAGATGATGTCTAAGAAAATGTGACTTAGATCAGCCTTCGGTAATCCTTCCTAAAAAATACTGCAGGTGCTCTAGAAAAAAGGAAAGGGTACAGGCAATGTTGCAGTGAAGGTAAGTGTCTTTCTTCCAAGTTGGAACAATAGCACCACAAAAAGAACAAAAAATTCATAAAAAATAAAGACCAAAGGCAATATTTCTATAATATTAAATGCCATTATTTGACTTTGAAGGGCTTAAACATAATATAGGACCTTTAATGTAAAATGATTTGTCAATAGAGACGATTAACAGTGCCTGAGAGTATGTATATATATATTATCATTATGTATTATTATATTATATTAGTTTAAATATGTATATTTAATGCAAGAATAAATTTATTTCCAAATAGGGGATAGTGAGAAACATTTTTGCCTTCCATGTAAAATTAGTGATCCAAGGGACCTGCTCATCAGTGGCAGCAGAGTCCAAAAGGAATAATCAAACTGGTCCTTTTTGAACCTGTTCTAATCAAGAGCACGGTTAAGGCCTCTGAGCCTGGAATCCGGCCCTGGCATGCTTCAGTACCATGCTTCTAATCTATTTTAAAAGTAAAAGGTTGACACACTGTTCATCGAATTACATTCCCCTTATTGCTATTTATTAAAGCTTCACAAAACAGATGCTGAAAATTCCAGCTTCTGAGCAATAATTAAATGCACCATTCAGCCAGCTCCAAATTGCCTATGCACTCACTGGAATGGATTTAATCCTCCTAAGAAAGCCATTAAACTAATATATATCCCAAAATGTCAAAGTCTCTGTCCACAATCAGGCGTTTTGTCAACCAGCACCAACAAAAACTCAAAGCTACAAATGGAATGGTATCATGTAAAAAAACACATCAGACTAAAAACCAGAGATGTTCTGGGGGCAACTGGACGTACCACTGAACATAGCATTCAGAGTAAGAGTTAGTGTTGTCTGTATTCAGTGTGAGCAAACACAGAGTAACAAAAAAAAAAAAAAAGTCATGTTGAGCCGAATAAATGCAGGGCAAAAAAGTAGGGGTGGGATAACATCCAGTTGGGGGAAGTGAGGACATGTCTTTGGAGGAAATCCGAACACTGACACAGATTCACTGGGAAAATATGGTTTTACAACACTGCACTGGCAAAATGGGAGTTGAATGGTTGAACAAAACTGTTCACTAGGATGGTCTACTGTGTATTACTGAATGGTGCAATATTATGAAATATTAATTCAAGCAGATCAGTGGCTGGAAAAAGAAGCAATATATTAAATTATTTTCATAAGAAGGTTGCTTTTTTTAAATCCCAGAATTAAAATTCTAAAAGCAGTGAATCTAGATAAACAGTACAAGCTGATTTGTTTCTGCTTATAAAGCCCAGTGACCTACCTGGTAAACTGGATCATCCACTTCGTCCTCTAAGATGGTCTGCGTTTGTGGAAGAGGGCAGATGACACATTTTGGTTTTCAGTTTCATAAGAAAAAATAAATTAGGAAAGGAAGCCGAAAGAAAACAAAACAGTCATCCCAGTTTTTTACTAGTAGCCAAGCATTACGACACACCAGTAGTGGGTTGCTTCAATTAAAGAAATATTTTAGTACAACACAGACATCAGCACTTTTCTAGTTGAAATGAAAAATGGGTCAAAATTACTTGATTTTATGTAGAATAATAATAAAATAGAATAGAATAGAATAGAAAATCACTTAATTGTTCCACAATGGGGACATTCTGGTGTTTGAAGCAGCAAAAAGATTTAGAAAAATGGTCACACAATGTGGACCTTAGAAAATTGTATAAGAATACCATAACAGTGAAGAGTTAAAAGATAAACAATAAACAATATAAAAACCGTGCACGTGCAGAATAAATAACCAATACACAGCTATGTACCTTCTCAGTACATCAATAGATAGTATAGGGAAGCTCAAAGCAAAAGGAAACTTGAAATAAAATATCTGCTGTGTACAAGCTGAGCCACAGCATGAAAAAAAGAATCCAGCTTTGGTTTAAAGTCTTACCTGGTAGACTGCTTGCTCACAGTGTTTGTCCTTCTGGGCCTTCTTCTCCATCTCCTCCCGCTGTTTAATGTCATAAATCAGCGTGAAGAGGTCACGCAGGTCAAGGATGAGAGGCTCAGCCTGAATGCAGAAACAAGAATAAAAACTGTCTAGACAATATATATTTATTCGCCACATGTCAAACTAAAGTAACCTTAGAAGGTATACAGCAAATTATTCCCACATTTAATAATAAAAGGTGTAACAATTTAGAAAGGTTATCTTATTTTGCTGAATTTATCAGAAGCAATTATTAACAATTTCATCTTCATTTAGACTTTCTGGTGGGAAAAAAAACAATCGGCAATTCTTTATTTGCAATTGAGGTTACGTCTGCCTCATTATTTATGCGTCTGATGAAGTGATGGTTTGCAGAGCGAGTTGTTGACTAGAGTTATGTGTTTAACGAGCGTCCAATATGCTTTTTTGCATGTGTTTTTTTTAGGTTGTTCTAACAGATCGAATCACGAGACCGATAAAGGATACTTTCGGGTTCCTCGTGGAGATATTAAAAAGGGGCCTTGCAAGGATTTTACAAAAATATGCAGGGGAAAATGGCTTGCTAACATTTTGTTGACTTCGAAGGGAGCTGAGTCAAAAAATGCCAGTTTGCAAAGATCACTTTTTTAAAGATTAGTAATTCACTTCGACATTAATTTACATATAAAGAGCCTTTCAGTGTCATGAGCAGTGATTTAAGATGCATTTAAACTATTTTAAAAGACAAGTTTGTTGTTTTGTTTGCTGTTTATTTACTGGTCCAAGATGGTGGTTGCTGTTGCTAGAACCTGCAAAAACAGCCCGATTTTACGCCTTGTGGTAATCAGGTATGAGTCGGCATTTTAGATGAATGTTTGACCTGAAAATAACAGCAGAAACCTGTTTGAGCATGTTTTCTTGACAGACACACATTGTAAATACAAGTTCATATAATTATCGTTACTTACACGACTCTTTATGATGTAAGATTTGCCTTTCAGGACTTTAACCCCGACTTCTTTAACCCATCCACAGATGAAAAAGTTGTAGGCATCCATGCTTTTCCAAGCTTTCATTTGTTTAGCATTGGAAAAGCTTGCTAGTAACACTAGATATTTTGAGATATCGGGGAACTGAACTGGCGGGTATTTTCCCAAATAGTAAGTCAAATCATTCTTAGATAACACATAAGGATCTATTCCATCGCACATTTTGACACATCGATGTATCGATTTCAAGAATTAGAATCTAAAGCACAAAAATGTTTGTAAGAAGAGTCGCATTTTCTTTGCACATCGGCAGCCATTTTTAGTTGGCCTGACCACCACTTAATTAACAGGAAGTGATTGCGGCACGTGATCGCAAGCCAAGAATTAATTCCTTTTTACATATATAGATTCATGAGTGCTGATTTTACATTTACTTATTTCACTCATTCATTCAGGCCTCAGAGCTGCAAAGCCTCATGGTGTCTAAGGGAGAGGAGTTGTTTATCCTACTAGGGAGTGTGATATAAATAATTGTTCTCATAACAAGCTAGATTCTTTTCTCAGGGTTTTTTTTCATAACATTTTACTGTTTTCTCCAATTGTCTGTAATTGTTTTGATAAACTGCGCCCTGACATCCTTCACAGCTTTTCTGCAGGGTTCAAGTTAGTGAGAGGAGCTTTTGTCTAACCAGATCAGGTGAGAACATGGAACCATTAAGCTGCTTTGATTGCCTTGTTCTCTCTTTGCAAATCAGGATAATAAAATACAGACTGAGGGAATTACCTATGTCCTTTATTTAACTGAATTGCATCGTTTAATAATTGTTTTCCCCACAACACTTTCTTAAACTTTTAATTTGTTAATATTGAATACTTTATGTTAAGGACAATATAAAAAAAACATCTTACTATTGATTCCTGTTATTATTTTGCATAAGATAGAGAGTCTACAAAAAATATGTCTTTAGCTTCTAGATTGTACTTTTGTTATTTCTGATGGAAATGCTGATGCCAGTTCATGCTCCCAGTAAAAAATGTTGTTCTAAAGACACACACACAAAACAAAATGTTTTTCCATCCTAACAAAGTAGAACGGTGACAAATGAAAGGAAGCTTTCATAAAGAAATAAAGTGATTAATAGTTTGATTAAACAGTGGTTGGTGTTGATTTAATGGCTAAATTAACCACCTGCAGTCACAATATTTTTCAAAAATATCAAACTTAAAAGGAGGATTTTATGCACAAATTAGTTCAGAACTGCAATTTAAAAGGAAAAAGATTTGTTATTTATTTGGTACTCAGCCTTGATGAATTAATACTTTGCTGAACCTCTTTTCCCTGCAATTAAACTTAAAAGTCACAGAGGTCTGAGCTTTGACTAGGCCAATTTTTAACACATGGAAATTATATACAGTTAATTCACTTAACTTCTGGTTCAGTGTTTAGGTCTATCTTATTTCTAGAAGATGAACTTCGATCTGCCTTACTCCTGTGTTCTAATGGGGTCCATGACAAGTGACAAGTGACAACTGTGGCCTAAATGTTTGTAATTTTTCTATTAACTTAAAAAAAAATCAACTTATGATGCATAAAAACTCAAAATTACTTCAAAAATTGTATGTCCTTTGTCTACCAACCACTCAGCTATAGCTGAACATAATCTGTAAATCATTTATCTGCTATTATCTGTCATTATTTATCCTGTATTCTAAACCCACCATATATAATCCATTTCCTTACTTTCCTGTATAATATGTATGCAGCTTCAATATTTATTTATTTTATAGCCTCTTAGAATTATTCTGTTTATATATACCACTTATAGTCCATATATAAACAGTTTCTGTACACCTGTAAATAAATACTGTTATCCTGTATAGCTCTTCTGGATAGATTCCAACTACATTTTATTGCTTTGTACCTATGACAGTGTCATGACAAAACAGTTGAATGCCATTGTAATGCAAAAGGTTAAGAGTTTTCTTTTTCTTTGAACATTATCAATGGCTTTATTCTGGTCATATTTTCCTCGTTTAAGAGCAGGTTTTGTACAGTGAAAAGCTAAATATGACTGTTATTAATCTCCCCTTCTGGGACTTTTAGTATTTAGTTTTCAGATTTCATTATCTAAGTAATTCTGTTTTGTTGATCTTTGGTTTATTTTCCATTTTGTGTTATATTTAAGCCAGTCTTTAGTTACTCTCTGTTTCCGGCCTTTGCCTGTCTTCTTTTCCCTAGCTCCCTTCTAGTCACTTCCATCCACACCTGCTCCATATCATCAGATTACCCCAGTCTTTGTTGTGTCTCCCATATATTCTTTCCCTGTGCAGTTCTTCATTGCTGGTTTGTTGTTGTGAGCTGCTTCCCCGTCTTGCTAACCACAGGAATTTTCCCTGATCTTTGCTGTTTTTTTGGATGTTTGTCTCAGTTTTTCATTAAACCATCAAGAACTCATCTCTGCTTCACTCATTTCTGCATTTGAGTCCTCAAGCAACCTCACTGCCCTCGTTGACAATGTCCTGCTTTCTCCCTGATGTTACTGCTGACTTTTTTCATTTTCATGATGCTGTTTATACACTGACATTCTCTAACAAACCTCCGCGTATTTACAGAACCTCTGGATTTAAAATGAGATTAAACTGCACACAGGTCGGATCTGTTTCCTTCAAAGGCATCTTCTAATTGCAGTGGGTTACACTAGAAATGATTTCATTTCATTAAAGTGAGCATGGCCAATATTTTTGACTTTCATTTGCAAAATGCTTGTTAGAACCATACACTGTTTTTCTACACTTCAAAATGATGCACCACATGTTTAGCTCCATCAAAAACATCTTAATCTGTTGGAATTTACATGGCCTAATGTAAAAAAATATGTACATTTGGAAGCCAGTGTACATTTAAAATCAAATATAGGTATTCCAGTAATATACATTTTAATCTCTGGTTTACAATATGGATTGTTAATGACACAAATGTTCAGTTTTAGTACTAAATAGACATTTGTTTTGAATAGTACTTACTAGGGCTGGGCAATTAATTGCTTTTGCAATAAAATCGCAATTTAATAAAATGGCATTTTCAAATCGCAAAGGCACTCAATTTTAATGCCATTACATTTAGCAAGATTAAAACGCAACATTCTCACTCCAGCTCTTTAGGTAGCAGCAAAAACGTTTAAAATGGGTTTGCCAAAAGGTCAAGAAAGTTGCAGTTACCACGCAGATCCATGCATGCAAGTATTCAAAGGTTGTACTAAAATCCTGCAACAATGGATTCCTTTCAAGCAAGCTTTCAAAAACTGAAAGCCTGCAATGACACGTCTACTTTGGGTTGCTGCAATGGAAAATCGAAATGAAATTGCAATCACAATATTGGGAAAAATAATCGTAATTTTGATTTTTGTTTAGCCCTAGTACTTACAGACTGTGCAGTCTTTATGGCCACAAACCTATGGTGGCCCTCCTTCCCGCAGACATACCCAAAGGCCCGGTGGTCTCTGGTGTCCTTTGCGATGTAGCTGATCTCATGGACTGAGTGATGATGCAGAAGCACCTGGGGGACACACAGTTGGGGGGTCATCAATGCAAACTTAGAAACCTAGAGTAGATGGCATATTTCCCTTGAACATGCCATACATTAAACATCCTTCTGTTCAGGTTTGCTTTTTCTATGTTGGAAGCCAAAGTAGGTCAAACCTGCTTTAAACATCTTTGCATACTGTTGCGCAAGATGCTGAACAATTCAGAAGCTGAAAGAGAGGAGGAAATTCAAGGCTCACTTGTTGCTTAAATCTATTTTATGTTGTTTGTGATTATTCTATAGCTTCCGCAACGGCGAACAATCTTGCATAATCTACTTGCTTAATGTTTGTGTTGTCATAAAACATCAAAAGCTAAATACCTAAATAATTAAACAAAGGATATTCCATAGTGTTTAAAAACACACACACACAAAAGACAACAATTCAGCTATTATGGAAAGACACCCATCTGCTGCGACTATTAGACAGGATAAGCTTAAGCACCAGGGAGGAGCTTTCATTTGAATATTTACTCATTTTTTCGTGGGGACTGTCGCCGGTAATGCTCCAGATTAATGTTAAATACAAAACTAATATGACAAGTACGCTCCATACAGCACAGAATCATGTCAGCTTTACAGCTTGCTGACACAGCCTGCGCCAGAGTGATCCCCATTCCCTCCTAAATAACCCATAGAGGCGTATTAAGTGAAGAGTTATTCAGTGCCATGTAATCAGTAAATAAAATGAAGAGCATTAGGGGGTATGATTTGTAAAACGACAAATGAGCCTGTCTAAAGAGAGCAAGCTCTTGGGTCATGGCGGGTGGCTAAAAGCTCTTTTTAATTCCTGAGAAAAAGTCAGATTGATAAAAGAAATCATCTAAGGTGAAGGCTTTTTTTTTTTTTTTTGGTTACTGGGGGTGGTCTGGAAAGAGCTGGCAGCCACAAGACAATTGCTGCTGCACAATTATCATTTTCAAACGAAAGACAGTCTAGGTGGAGCTTTTGTGTAATTAGCATTAGCAGCAATGATCATTAAGGGGTGGAACAGAGAGCTAATTAGTGGTTAGCGCTGATGAGCCAAGTGAGTCTTTCTAGCTGGCTCTGCACTGCGGGACAGTGGGGAAGATCTGAGCCCCTGGATCATCCTGTAATGGAACAGCGAGCCTCTAAGCCCGCAAACGGGGGTCCCTCGCATTAGCACACAGTCTTAGGGATCTGAAAGGTGATCTTTCAGCAGAACCTAATCATGTCAGGACCAAGTCTGAGGCTTACATGAACTCATCATGAAGATTAATTATTTTGCATTTGATTTAGTTTATTATGATTCATATAAGTAATCTGATTTATTTTTGTTGGTGGGGGTTTCATAAAACAACATGGAGCTTTTCTAATTTATAAAAACAGGATTGGGAATTTTCTCCTCATCCTCACAGGGTCTAAATTATACATTTTAAATGTAGGTTCAAATATACACTCTTTTAAACTTTTAGCAGCCATGAGCCTTTCCTGGTATAGATGTGGCTAAGTTTGACCCATTGTCTTGGCAGAATTGGGAGAGCTAATCTAAAAAGGTCAGTTTTTTTAGCATGGGGATGGCTTTTAAACATTTGTGACAGGAGTGAACATCTGGGTAAGGTAGTCTAATCTATGCCTGGTTCATTCATTTCACAACAAATGTTTATATATATCTGGGACCATTTTTTGTTTAGAACACCCAACTGTGTCAAGAACTGACTTTGCACTAAAGCTTTTAAGTAGGAAATGAATGGAAGCTGGTCAGTATGTATAGGGAAAACCTAAGAATAACCTAAATCTAAACCTATAATCCACTGGAACATGCTGGGACATCAATCTTTAATCCACGCCACTAGACATGGCTAAAATGAGTTACAGCCTACATAGATGAGTTAAATAACTTCTAGGGAAAGGGAATGGCAGGAACAAAAACAAAAGTATAACTATTTTAACAAAGTTAGACTTTCAGCCATAATTCAATGCCCGAGATAGTAGGGCATTGCAATTGTGCTGAAATAAACAAAAATTAGGATTAGTTAAATAGACTGAAATTGTATTGGACCTTTGTAGTTCTACTTGATTTTTATTGCTCTTAAGTTTAAAGTCACATTTAATCAATCCCACCTTATACAGCACAAAATCCTACAGAGAGCTATAGGCAACCAGGGAAAATAAGAAGCTGGAATCGAACTCAAATCTTTCTGACCAGAATATGAATACAAATCCTATTGACTTACAGTTAACCCAAACGTCCAAATAAGTCAACTACTTCCTCACTTATATGAGAACCCATATAGATTAGAATATAGAAACCAAAAACCCATAAAGAACTAGGAAGACAACAAAAAAATTACTAATGTAAAGGTAGCATTACTTCATCATATTTCTACTGGAGTAAAAGTTAGAATTAGCTATCCAAAGAAATTACTCAATTAAGAGTAAAGAAGAATTTAGTGAAAAGGCTATTTAGTTAACCAGTAACTGTTTTTCTATTTTAAAATACAGTATGTAATCAAAAAGAACATAATATAAACTTTTCTTCACATTCATTTTCTTTTTAAGTCTAAAATAAAGCCATTAATACAAATAACATTGTTTTCTAATATATTCAACTAAAAGAGACACTTCTCGAAATCCATTTTTTGTCAAATAAAACAGATTTCTTAGAAAACAGAAAACAAAAAAAGAAAACAATTTCTTATAGTATATAATCTATTTATGATAGAACAAGCTTCAGTTTATATACTTTCACTACCTCCAGGGACAGTACATACCCTTTATATTATATTAACCCTCATGTTATAGAAGTTTGAGCAAATATAGCTGAGTAAATGCAACTAGTTACGACACATTTCCAAATCCAAATCACATTTATCCAGACTAATGTCATGATCCGGCATGTTTCCTCCTCCTTAATTAGTAATTCCTTTCACCTGCCGTTTTCCCTCCCTGCCTCAATTATAATTTATCCCTCTCACCTGTTTCCTCTGGTTTATATTCGGTTCAGCCTGAGCATTCAGTCCCAGATCATTACTTGTCTTTTTGTTAGTCTGTCGGTTCAGTTTGATTTGATGGTTCATGTCCTGGATCCTAGCTGCCAGAGGAAAGAGGGTTTTTGTGTCTGTCTCGTCTCCTGATCATCCACTGTTCCTCCCCCGCTGATTCCTCTGGGTTTTTGGCTCAATATGTGGGGAGGTTCAGTTTTTATCCAGTAAGCCTGGCTCCAGGGAGGAGACCAGTTTAAAGTCCTGCTTCAAGTTTCGGTTCTACGTCCTGTCTCGGCTACCCTCTTTCACTGAGCCTGCCTGCACCTGATTATGTCTGCTCCTGTGCGTGACCACCTGGTCATGCTTCTGGTCCCAGTCAGACTCTGAAACCTCCTGGAAGCCTGTGGATGCCTGGAAGTCTGGATCCTGCCCCATGTTTCTGTCCCTGTATGTTCTGGATCCCTCACCAGGTTTAGCTTCCAGCATGTCCTCTGGGACTGCAGCACTGGGGACATTCTTGGTCTGGACTGTTAAACCAGAGTGTCTGTGATTGGGCGGTGCCCTGCCCCCCCCCGCCTGCAGTGTCCACGAGCCACAGCTCCGCTTTTGTTTTGTTTTATTTAATAAACGTTTGAACTTTCCTACTGACTGTCTCTCCTTGAATTCTGGGTCCATCTGTCCTCGTTTACATGACAACTATCTTTGTATTTAAACCTTTGACTGAAGGTTCATATTCACATCTCACCGTGGGTCTAACATTAAATTCTAGAGTTGTAATATAGTACTGGTATTTTAACGGTTCATAAGTCAAAGGACAAACTACACTAGGGGAAATTAAAGAGGGCTTGATTTGAATCAAAATTGGCAGATTATAGAAAGTTTTAAAGCAGTGATTGAAGCGTGATGGCATCACTCCTGCCAGTAGGTCAGTCAGTTGTCTAAGATGGCGGCCAACACACGCAGCTGTTGTGAAGTGAGCCGTGCGAGTTCGTGCCATCTGGATGTCCTGTACAGTGGGCTCTCCCTCGCAGCAGCTGAGGGACGCAGCCGCTGACATGCTACTCACCCCTGATCTTTCACAGTAAATCTTGATCCCGCCGAACGAGACCGTCAAGAAGACTCTCTGCTTGTGTTCCCCCTTGGAACGTGCTGACGAAGCCATTCCCTGTAAGGAGCATAAAGAGACGTCATGACGGAAGGAGATGAAGGGTGACAGGAGTTACTTGTTCTACTAAGGCTCAGGTGAGGGTGAGAGTGGAAGGATTTGTGTGAAGAATTGGGGTTAAGATGACAGGAGTTACATAAGGTAGGTAAGGATAAGATGTTTCATCTGCCTTTTTATGAAGTTTCTCGGGGCGAATCACGCATCAACTTGTGACGATAATCTTATTATTACAACCCCTTGAAGTATGTCTTTGGCACTTTAACGTGATAAAACACAAGCACTATCTACTGACAATAAGGTTAGATTTGCTGACTGAATGGATCTCGCCGCTGCCCGACCAGCTTGCTCCAGCAACTTCACACATAATGCTGACTGAACAACCATTGCAGTCTTTGAAGTATAATTTTCCCATGAACCTGCAACTGCTCTCTCTTTTTTTTTTTTTTTCTTGTAGACTCTCTGCTCAGATAAAGAAAACAATTAAAAATTTTCCACCGTGTTCCGTTTGATGCAACCTGTGAGCTTGACAGGCCTTTCATTGAACGACGCCCGAGAGGAAAAATGGTCGGAAGAAGAAAGGAGAAGCGGCGAGATGATAAGAGAAGAAAGACTTTGCCGTATGTGCGGCTGACAAAGCAGCACGTTGGCTTTTGATAAAAAGAAAAAAAATACTTGACCCCTTCTCTAAACCAGATAACTTTTAACTCCAAATTCTTCTATTTCAGCTTTTTGAATATAGTTAACTCTTAAACATTAAATTCTAACAAACTGGAGGTTTTGGTCAAGTTACACCTGAAAACGTTATTTTACTTATTTACATTAATGCAAAAAACCAAACACAAAGTGGAAGATTACAAAAATCTAATATGATATTCAATCTTTTCTTACAAATAAAGTGTGGCATGCATTTGCATTTAACCCTCATGTCCACTAAATAAAATCAAATGATCTTCAGAAATGCAAAAGAAGTTGATAGAAATCTAGATAAGTCATTTATTCTTAAAATAAGTGCATTTGTTCTTGGATTGAGGACGTAAAAGAGACATTTTGCCAATGGAACAAGACAATTTACATTTAAAATAAGAAAACACAATTGCATTGTCTTATTTCAAGTGCATTTTTTCTAATTATCTTATTTTAAGAGTAGAAATACTCATTGGCAAATAATCTCATTTACCTCCTCAAATTAAGGGTAAATACCCTTAATTTAAGACAATTTTACAAATTTCTAGATCGTTTTTCCAGTGTATATAAATCAACTTTAGAGCATAACAAAGATCCCCCCGAAGCCCCCACCCCCCGATCAGGTTGAAAAAAAATTGGACCTCTTAGACAAAAGTCAAACAACAAGGAGATAAACTAAAACTACAAAGCTTTAGGAAATGCTTTTCTTCAGTAGAGATGCAGAAGCTGTTCAGAGATGAATGAAGCTAAAAAAAAAATGGCTGTTACAGGAACAAAAAACTTGAGATGAGGTAAAAATGTAACTTCCTGTCTGGACAATAACTCCATATATGCAGCTGATAGGAGGTTTGGAGCAAAGCAAACCCAGAGCTAAAGAACATCTTAAACTTTAGATATCCAAACCTGGCAGAGATTTAGGAATGACTGGAATAAGTGCCACACTTTTTAGATGTTCAGTAGGAAAACATTCATAAAACTATCATGCATAAAAAACAAAAAAAACAATTTAAAAGGTATGAATACTCATGCATTGCATGGAATGTTTCCATTTTGGAAAACCAGTGATGTAATGACTGGTTTTCCAAAATGAAAACCTTCCAAGCATTTGACTCTTTGAGTCATCTGGTGAGATATTAGACATAAAAAAGGATTGAGAGCTGAGTAAGCAATTGGAGAGAGATGCATGGAAAAAAAGGGAGGGGGGGGGTTGGTCACAAGAGCTGAAGGGTGTTGTCAGTCAGCCATCGGCTTTTCCATTCTGTAGATTAGTCCCAATGGCAGCAAGAGGCAGCTCAATACGGACCTGTTCCCTCCTCTATCCCCTGTCCAGATAATAGCAGGTCTGTATCGACTGCTCCATTGAGTGTAACTGGCTTCTGGCTTGTGACTGCTGGAGTTATATGGAGGGCACTGCTGAAATGTCAGATCAAGGCAGCAAAAAGTTGTTTAATTGGACATATCTCCTGGGATGGGATATGGGTGAAGATTTGCCTTCTGACTATACTGCCTCTCCTTTGGGGCTTCCCACACATTTAAGCTCCAGAAAAGCAAGTGGGAAGACACTTAAAAAAGCCAAACATAAGTGACTTCTTTGTAAGGGCAATTTATCGAACCAACCACCTACAAAGAGGCTCATGTGCAGCTTTTCTATAAATCGCCCCTCCCCCCGTAAAAAAAAAAAATTACGCTGCCTCTTTCCATATAACATAAAGGTCAAACTGGTGTAATATCCACCAGTATGAATTATTTCTGGTTTTCCTAAAACAAATCCTTTTTATTTTTTATTAACTGGGTCTCCTGCAAAAATCAGTTTAAGACAAAGCTCATAACAGAACTTGACTAGTGTTATAAATTAAGTTTTTAGGGCCAAACTAACATTCAAATCATTTTGAATAATGTACCTATTATTGGATACATAAACGGTGATCAATCAGAAAATAGATGAGCAGGAGTTGCATCTGTTTATTAGTTTTATGGTCATTCATTTAGATTAGGACCAAAACAGCAATCGACTTGTGGAAGACCATGTAAGAACACCTTAGTTCTTAGAAATGAGAGCTGTTGAAGTAAACACTATTAACATTATTACATATATCAGAGCTATTTGAAAATAACTTCCCTTTTTCACTGATTGAACATATGTTGCCAATGAATATGTTTACAAGAGAAAAAATGCTTAAAATGCTGTTTGAAAAACAGACAATGAATCTCCTTTAATCAAAGTAAAGATCCTGTAAGAATTATTCAATGAAGTTCAAATATTGACAGCTCCTTTATAAATAACCCCTATTGAAAAAAAAGAATGACTGCTTTAACAGTTCCCTTTAAGAAATGCTTTAGGGAAGCCCCAAGTGTGATTTCCACATTTCACTCAATACTGTATTCCCACCGGTCCTGGATGCCAATACTGTCCAGTCTTTTTCTGTATTGATTATTTAGAGATGACTGATGATATGATTAGAGAGCATAATCTTTTCCAGGAATTCTTCACTTCTATTGGTGAACTAAGGCAGGTTATATTTTTCAACATGTTAGAATTCTGTGAATATTCTTTAATTTTCTGTGTTTTTTTTCCATTTTGATGCATTTAATGAGTTGTTCCAGCATTTCCGTTAACGCTATCTGGAAACAATTTGATTGAAACGTGTAGCTTCATATCCTGTGCATTTATGATATCCTGCTGCCATGTGAAAATTTAAAGATTCAAAAGATGCAGTGAGAAACTGATTGATGACGCATAGCCTGCTCTGACCAGTTGGTTGGTGGTTTATTTATATGTATCTATCTCTCTGTCTCTCTCTCTCTCTCTCTCTCTCTCTCTCTCTCTCTCTCTCTCTCTCTCTCTCTCTCTCTCTCTCTATATATATATATATATATATATATAGAGGTTGATTTTTAACACGATTAAACCAGGTGAAACTAAAACATAGGACATATTAAGGACCTTTGCATAGAGCATATTGACAGAAAGAAAAAATGTATCTTATCTTAAATGTAAAATGTTTATATAGTTTTTTTTTTTACAATTTTATATATATTTTTCTAAATAAATTCTATACATCCATCCATCCATTTTCTAGCACGCTTATCCCGAGTGGTGTCGCAAGGGGTGCTGGTGCCTCTTCAGCAGTCAATAGGCGAGAGGCGGGGTACAACCTAGATAGGTCGCCGGTCCATCGCAGGGCAACACAGAGAAAAACAACCATTCACCACACACTTCCACCCAAGGGGACTTTAGAGAAGCCAATTAACCTAACAGTCATGTTTTTGGACTGTGGGAGGAAGCTGGAGTACCCGGAGAGAGAACCCACGCATGCTCAGGGAGAACATGCAAACTCCATGCAGAAAGACCCTGAGCCGGGAATCAAACCCAGAACCTTCTTTCTGCAATGCAGCAGTGCTATCCACTGCAAATTCTATACATTTATTTATAAAAATTGTAATAATCACTAAATTAGTGAATGATTGATAAGGATTAATGTGATTATTTGTTTTAGCTCTTATATTATATATATATGTATTGCCTGTAGGGACCCGTCATTTTATGGTAACTAGGATATAGACACCATAAGCAGCAACAACTCATAATAGTGAGGTCAAATGTGGTCTGCAAGGTCTGGAAGGTACATCTATGTCTTGCTTCATAGAATACCACCAATATTGTAATGTTGCTCATTATGTGTGATACAGTATGTTACCAACTGTAAATTAAGTTAAAAGAAAGTTAAAAAACATTTGCACGATTTATATTCCACATTGCTTGTTTAAGCCATACTCAACATTTTGGTAGTCTCTAGGAGGCAGTGTCTACCGACAGCAAGCTTACAACACTACACTACATGTAGAAGTAGAAAATAGTTGTTTTCAAAATAGTTGTGTTGCCTTCTTCTGTAATTTTTAGATATGTTCATAATTTATAGATCTCCATGAGCTAATGGTCCAAACCCCATTATGTCTGTAAAAGCTAATATTTGTGAACACCTGCAAGGAGGAGATCTTATTTTCTCAGGCAAATCTGTGGTGGTAGTTATAAATTTTCCAAGGTACGTATAATCCGGGCCGGGCAGAAGCCATGAAGCATAAAACAAACCTAAAACCACCTGCTTTCTTTCTGTGAAAACATTTATCTAACAGATACTATATGGGGTGCCAAGGAACCATCTGGAACATTATTTAGGTAGCTGGCCCCCTAAACATTAAGTTTATTTTATTAGGTCAACCAATTAGGTCAACTACTAGTGATTTTATGAAGCCTTCACTCAAAAATCTGGTGCAACTTTCTCTGTTGTATTCACTTTCAATACATCTGGAAATGCAGCTTAGAAAAAGGGGAATTATTTGCGCTGCTAAATGTAAATTTATCATATATTTAAAGAAAATGCACATCTTGCACCCAGATTTTTTTTTCCACCTCTTACCATAGGGCTGAATTTGACCTGATTCACTTGCAACGTTCTGCAAAGAACACTAGTCTGCTACATTATCTGGGTCATGTTATCGCAGTTTGCACATGTGCCACAAGTGTAACAGCATGGACTTTGTTGTAAAAATAGCAGTCAGTGAGTGACACGAGAAAACACAGAGGAGACAGACTAATTGGGGGTAAGTTGGGGGAAAATTTTCTACTTATGTCTTATGCAGCCTAAAGCATCTTGGGTTAAGATGACGGTTTGCCTCTCAGGTCACAAAAAAAAAAAATCTGTGTGAATTAATCCAAAGTGCTTTGAGCTATATTAAAGGTATAACAGCTTACAAGAAGAGCAATGGATTGAAAGGATGCCATGATTTGGTGCCAAACGAACCCCTCAGTAGTTTTCGAGTAGTTATATATTTTTTTTAACATCAAGCAGAGCCATGAAATGATGTGGTTGGTTCTCCCTTTGTTCCGGCAGGTCATTTATACAGTCTCAGTGAGTCACACAGGAGAGGACAGCTCCCATGACTCACTCAGAAGACAATACAGTCATGCTCGAGCAAGCCTTTTCCAAATCAGAGCAAATGATGAGAAGAACCTCAATGACATCAGGACACGCACACACTGAGATTTATATTTCTATCCATATTAGGACCTTACATAGACTTACATTCATTTTAGCTACCGCATTTATGCCTAACCCTGACATTTACCCTAACCATTACCAGTATATTCCTAACTTTAACCTTAACCTAAAATGAATAGACCCTGTACCTCTAAACTCACTCCCTAACATAAAACAATTAACAGCAGCCTTTGGTCCCCACAAGGCCTGTTGGTCCTCAGAAGGTTAGTAAATGTACCAAAAACGGTTATAAACACCATAACGAAGTACACACACAAACACAGACTGGGCGAGACAAAGACAGGAAACCTTAAAGAGCCATTCACCTTCAGCTTCATCATGGAGTCTTGGCACAGCTTGTCCCCTCGCGCGGCTGTCACCTCATCAATTCCAATCAGCTTGGCCTTGTAGCGCACTCCATCTCCGTGGAAACGCTTAATAAGCCCCGCCTCTGTTCGGTCCTGACCTGCATTGAAACGGTAAGAAAAAATGAATAAAACACAGGTGACAAAGATCATAAAATAAAACTAAGGGTGGATACTGGAAATTAGGATGTGTGAGTTCAGTTCAGTTTTGATATCTTTCAGTTATCACCCCTTGTCAGAGCTACCATAGCGCATGTATGTGTGTGTATGTGTGTGTGTATGTGTCATCTCTGTATAAATATTTATGGAATAGGAAATGCTGAATGAATAGCAAATTAAATGCGTCGAGAGAAGACGAAGAGAAGATTGAACCTGAAATTGGAATGAAGTTGGGCAAAGCCGGTGGACGAAATGGAAAAATGTCAGGAACGCTAACAACTCTACCATGAGCTATTATACCACTCTGTGAGGCATTCAAAAACAATACCAAAAAAAAGCAGAAGAGAGCTGGGATGGATTAGGGGAGAGCTCACTCCTCTGCTGCACCCATGCCTGTGGTTCCCATGGGTGCTATTGCTGGTGACAAACCAGCTTGACTGGATCCTATTGAGAGGAATTATCTCGGTCCAGCGCTTGCCCACAATTCGCCGAAGCCCTCCCCATGAGACGGATGCTGGGTGGTGGCAGTAGTGTGGTAGGAAGGGAGGGCTGTCACAAGTGTAAGGCTGGATGGCCTAAGGCTTTCCACTGACATCCCCCTACCCTCCTCTCCCTCCCTTCCTCGTTCGTGAATAGCTATTGCGTCTTTGCAGACGCCCTGACATCTCTTTGACACTGACACCTTTCTCATTTTGTCACTACGCTGTCTACAGACACATCAGTTTGATTATGGTGAGGTGAGCCTAGGGCGCTATCTTCTACATCTAAAATGTATACTAAACCTTTATAACCTATGCGGGTTATCACACAAGGTGACAGTGAGATTTCAAATCAAGGTTACCATGTTAGAGCATTTGAACAGTTTTTACCTTGGTATCTCTCTCGCTCAAATCTAGGTCACAATACCATCCAGTACATCACTTAGAAGCACACTTAAGAAGCTGGTTAATCCATGCACATGAAGTTGACAAGGTAGAACATCCCCGACAGCAACTCTCAGGCTCTAGTCCAAGACTGCGTTACACCAAAATTAGCTTATTCCACCCAAAACTGACTCTATTTCCAACCATGCCATATCAAACCATAGGGAATTTCTTCTCCCATCCACATATTTTCCAGAAGGAAAATCAAAGAGGGAGCATAATAAAAACAGAGAAAATTAAAGGGCTTCTGTATACGGGGGAAAAAAAAAATCAAATGCAAGTGCGTGTCTTGGATATGCAACCCTCTCACTTATTCATGAGGCCACTATTCTCAAAAGAAGGGGGAGGGCTTGATGATTCCTCAGTCATTACAGTCTCCAAGCAAAGGAACGCTAAATCTGGGTCTCATTGAGATTCTCTCCTCTCATCCAGTAGATAATTGAAGAGGACACATCCCCCCTGATAAAATTCCAGAATTATATAATACAGATCATAAGAAATAATTCCCCGGTTTTTTTCACCTCTAGTGTGACAAACATTCTGTTCAATTCGTCTCAAACAAAAGCAAGGAATGAGGAAAAAATATAAGAAAGGCATAACACCCTTAAACTTATAACAAGTCAAAGAATATTCTGATTTAAATCCAGTCTGATTTAAATTTAGTCGTAGATGTCTATCAGAACACCGCATCCTGACTTGGTAGTAATGTTCCGTCTCTGTTTGCAAAACTTCACCAATTCGGAACCTGTTTTATTTCTTTAGTTTTTTTACACCAGCTATATCATTCACAAACAGGTGATACCATCAACTAGTTTTGGTCTCTGGTTTTTACTTTTTATGTGCTTTTAGATTCTAACCTACTTGTGTAAGAATATTTTATCACTTTGGGAATGGAAGCAATCTGATAAAGTGAACTATCTGTAATTGGCTACTTTTTAGAAAATTCCACCTCTATTATGGTTCTCTTCCTGTTTGTTGTCAGTAACGTCTGCAAAGCATCTTCAGGCCAATCACTGTTCTCCTAAAGATTTCAGTAAAGTCATCATAAAAACTTTGTTTAACAACGTCATGAATGTGTTCTTCGTATTGGTTTAATTCCTTTTTTGTTGTAGTTTCTAGATTTATGTTAGTTCTCAGGTTTTTCTGTTGTTTTCCTCTGTTGCCCTCTTGTGTGTGTTCCCTTCCCACTTGGCTCCCTCGTTGTCTCCTCACACCTGCTCCTTGTCAGCTCGTTAGCCCTGCCATTGTCTCAGTCAGCTACATATACACTCCCTCTGCAGTCACTCCTTGTTGGTTTCTTGTTGTTGGTGGTCCTGTCGTCGCTGTTGTCATCTCACCTCGTCTCTCCCTGGCTCCTTGTACGTGTTTTCCCTTTATGTCTCCATGGTTCTGGTCTGTTACATTTTTAGTTGGATTTTTGGATTCCTGCCTTTGTTAACCATTTTCATCATTAAAACTACAAGTATTTACCTCAGCCTCTCTGCCTCTGCATTTGGGTCCTCCAAACCACAACCAACCCTGACATTTACAATCAGTATGCCTCTGCTGTCAAGCATTTTCTTATTTTATGAGCAGCATTGTGTATTTAAAAATGTCAAGTTGCGACAAAGATGGCTGTTGCATACAGTATGAACTCAAAATTCTCCTCCTGAGGAGAACATATATAAGCCTGAAGATGATTTGCTAAATTTTACTAGCCACAACCAGGAAGAAAACCGTATTGTCTCAAGAGGAAGAATTTCCTGAAAATGAGCCAATCACAATGACGACTTTCCAGATTGCGCAGAAACAGATCCACGTAGGAGTACGAGAGAGGCTCTGGGCACGTGGAAAGCAACCCAGAGGTAAAGCGAAGGAGCATGCAATTATGCTTGTATATAATGGGAGCCTCTGGCTATTAAATCTGCATGCATACAACTTTTAAAATACACATGGAGAGTAGTTTAAGTGTCTGTTTCTTAAATATGACTGCTCGTATAAGTATTTATTACGTGTGTGCCCTTTTGGAAGCTTTCTAAATTTATATTCCAATTTTTTTTTAGCAGACAGCAGTTTAGGACAACACTGACTGCTACTGTTCATGTTTGTTTCTTGTTAACAAAACCTTTGTTTAGTCTGAAGAAAGTTCCTCCCACAACATGATCCTGCCATTACCATGTTTTACCTTGAGCAGGGCTATCTGGCTTTTTACATAACATCCGATTTGTTCTTGCCTTTTTCTGCTGACCCTGTTAGTTCACTCCTGGTATATAAGTTGAATGTGGCTTACCAGGCTAGTGCCAATCCTCTTTTGACATTCTGACCAAACTGTTCGAGCTTTACTTATTGAGACCATGATACAGTCACCTATCCCACACAATGAGTACTTAGAGCAAATTACTCCAACTGCTTTAGTGTTACTGTCAGCCACTTGATAACCTGAATGGTCGATTTCCATCGTGTAGTTTCATTATTTTTGGAAAATACACCTCCAGTTTAAGGCTCTGTGGTCTTGGAACCTATTGGACACTTCTCCTAACTAATGCCGTTTTATAAGTTACATATTTATTGAACACTTCGAAATTACTACTAAGAATAGAGGTGTATAACTCAAGTTCCAGAGGACTGCTATCCTGTAACTTTTGGACACCTGAATGAAATGGCTTAACTACCTACTCAGCAAGCTGTAAACAGCTCTAGACTCCTTATAATGAACCAGTAAAATTATTTAGTTGTGTTAAAGCAAAGACACACCTAAAAGCCACAGCACTTTAACCCTAGAGCATAACCTCGAGACTGAAATTTCATACTAGTGCCTTTGAGTAAAAGATGCAATAAGAAAATATCACTGGACAGCCAAGTTAAATTCTGGTTCAACGAATTCATCAGAAGAGCTGAGAGGCATGAACCTAAAATGACTAATAATTAAATTCAACCATTAGTTTAAGAGCGTTCTGTGCACACTTACTGTATGCATCAAGGCTGAAGCAAATATGCAAATACGCCTTTGTTTTGTTTTTGGTTCCAGAAGAAGAAAGGTTTGTAAAGTATCTGTTGTCATTTAAAAAAAAAAACATGAAATTTAACATGGAAGCAGGCTTTTGAGACTTCTAGTTTGTAGGCAGTGGTTGGAGAGATTGCATTTTTATCTTGGAGAGGCTGCAAAATTGTCAAAGCTCAACTGTCTTTGAGCTCTCTGAGCATGCTGGTCCCTGAGCAGGACCTCTAACCCCCAAAAGCTGTTCACTGTTTCCTAAGAGATGGACTGAAATCCAAGCACAAATGTAATAATGTTTAAACTGAATGGTAAATAAAGGTGATTAATACAACGTCAACCAGACTGGTGTGCATGAACCAGCCATACTGAGACACATACATCCAGAATTTATTGTGACACTGTATAAAAAGATGACCAGTAGACAAACAAGAAAAGTTTCCGCTGTGATAATTGCTGCTGTTCAAACCAACCCCCCTGCTGTATCTACAGTCTACTCACATTTGTATATTCTCACTTGATCTTCCTGACTCATACACTCTGTAATGTAATGCAAAATACATGCTGCTCCACTTGCATTTTAAACACAATCGGCCCAATTCAGCGCAGCTCCCTCAGATGAGCTCTAACCAGATGCTCTGTGCCATTTTGTCTCTTTACATCTAGTGTGCCTTTTGCCCCCAAATGACACACAAATTTTTAAGGCTCACGCACAGACAGATCCTGAGAAAAAGTAGGGCTTGCATAGGGAATGAAAGTGTCGAGAAGGTGGCGTAACTTGTGTGCTACGTGCTGTGGGTTCAGATCGAGTAGAGCAAGTGTGCTGTATTTGGAAAACTAAAGAGCTGAGGGGCATGCTGTTTCGTGTTGCTGCACACTGTCGGATCGAAGGGGCAAGAAGGGGAAGGTGTGTGCATGGCTGTGTGCGTGTCTTAGTCCTTGTGAAGGGAGGTGACACAGTCTTCTGGTTTTCTGGAAGGCCAAACATGAATGGTACTCACAAAAAATTTGCACCTCAAGAAAAAGACTGACAATTTGTCTGACA